CTCAGCGCCGACCCCTCGGAACATGTTCGTGAGCACAAAGTGCAAGGGCAGCTCGCCTCGCGGTGAAGCTGAGCGGTTGCTGAGCTTGGAGGACGCATGTGCGTGAGCTCCGGGCCACTTTGCTGTCACAATGCATCAACGAAAGCAAGCAGCAGGAACCCTAGGATGGAAGGCTGACTGCGAACCTGGGGGAATGCATTGAAATCAAATGGTTGGCGCATGCTAGAGGCTTGCGGCTTACTCAGTACACAAGCAGTCTGCTGCTTCTACGGCCTCCAGGGTGGCCGCTGAGTGCATGCTTGCTGGCCCCGACCATGGCCAGCTCAGTGTTCAACAGCAAGGCGTGCAAAACTGTGCAAACTCTGCACGGTGAAAAGGATGACTAAGGCCCTTGACCGAGCGAAAAGCAAAGAAAAGAGAGGCAAAACAAGGTGGAAGATGCATGAAGAGCGGCAAGAAGAAACACATAAACAAGAAAGAGCATGGATTGGACGGGGAGCATCAGGGAGCTAGACGTGGGAGTGTGCAAAGAATGGAGCATATGCCGAGAAGAAACAAGCTGAGTCTGTTTGAAGGGCTTGACTGCTTGGCTTAACTGTGCAAGCATGGGCATCTGTGCTACCATCAAGCTGCCTGTCCGGGCAAAACCGACCTGCCTTCACACTCGGGGAATATCATGACTGTCAGCGGCAGCGCGTCAGTGTCAAGCTCATCAAAGATCGCAGAGCACTCCTGCCACAGCTCAAGCTGCGCATTCGGCGTCAAACAGCATGGCATGGGGCCTGGAAGAGGATCTTCAGCTTATTTATGTTGTTGCCACATTCTCTGCGGCTATTATTGAGCTTAATCATTAATCACCTGGACTAAATAAATTCTCTGGGCTGGTGTTCTGGAGGCTCGAGTCGGGGCAGCAGAATCTCGCCACAGCCGCAGCCAGCAGTCCAGCCCCAAAGGCGTGATTCCGTGTGTGTGCCCACACGTACTTTGCTACAAAACTGATTTGTGCAAATGCAAGACAGCTTGCTCACAGCTTTCTGTACCCTCTGGCCTTGCCTGGCTGGCATCCCGCCTGAAGTGCAAGAGCATTCAATTGAAGGCACAATGGTGGCAGCCACTGTGTAGCTAGTTGACAACGTGAAGCAACCCGCCATTGCAAATGAGGCGCCGGGTAAGAACGAAGTAGCACGTGTCCTTCACCGCATTGATGATAAGTCTGGCCTGCTCCTCACTGGCGCAAACCATCCTCAGCATGTCAGTCGTGTAAACTATCCAGTCAGTGTGCCCTCATTGCTTGTCCGCACTCTCCCAACTCAACGCTTCAGGCACGGAACGCGCCGTAACCACAACTTCCAGCTGCCTCTGGGAGCACGACGTTGGCTCAGCCATTGGGATGAATCATCATATCACGGCATGACGTTCGCGTCTTTTCAGTGGCGTTGCTGCTTCCTGCTAGCCCAGTGCCACAAAAGCGGCAACCTATCTGTCACCCTGAAGACTGTGAGTTGCCTCCGTTTTTTGTTTGTGGATCCCCATGCCATAGAGCCCTTGTTGTACTGCTGCCTGTTTTTGCCACCTAATTGAAAACTGCCGACAAATATTGGTGGCAGAAGCGTCTCCACGTAGCTACGCTGCAGCAGGGCAGTCTTGGAGCGCCGCCGCTGGTGCCGCCGCAAATCCTGCCGATAGGTGGCTGTTTGCTGGCAACCAAGGGTATACCCTGGAAGCCAAAAAGCACTTTGACGAAAAGCAACAAACAAAAAACACAACAAACAAACACAAACACCAAAGAAAACCATGACCCGGGAAGCCTTGCCAAAAACTGGGCGATTGTAGTCATTCGGCGCCTCGCCTGGCCTCAAACTGCAGCTACAACAAATGCCTTGGACTGGATGCTAGCTGCCAGGCTGGCCACGTGAGGCGAGCCAAAGTCAAAAAATGAGAGAGAGAGAGAGAGAGAGAGAGAGAAAGGGAGGTAGACATGCCACTGGTATGCCTCAAAAAAGCAAACAGACCCATGAAAGACTGAGGGCAAAAGCCTATGCAACTTCCCATCACAAAATCTACTGTACTTGAATACCTGGGCACCACCCAAGCATATAAGCAGCGACCACCTCAAACACTCCTGAACCTTCAGAATCAGAATAAGGTTGGCTTGGTAGCAACTGTCGTACCTGACCGCTTAACAACGCTTCAACCTCCCTACCCACTTTCGGAGACACGTTTTCCAACAACTCCATTGCTTGGAGTTAAACGCAAGGGGTTCTCTGCATTTCTGTGGCGGTATCCCCAAGCCCTCACTGTCCATCGGCCTTGGCGAAACCAGGGCGCCTCTTCTTCGTCCCTGCATACCTGACGCAAAAACGGCAAACGGAAGGTCACAAGGCAGCAAGAGGTGGCATGTACCCACGGCACCATCATAAACCTCCGTCTCACTAAGCATCAATATCTTCATTCCTCCTGGCTAGCAAATGGACGAGCTCCTTGAGCCTCTACGGAAGAGCACGCAGTCGCGCCAAGATGCCACTCATCTGGAGGAACTGATGGTTCCTCCGCATGGGAGTCTTGACTATCCTGAGCGCAGCGCGCAGTGGCATGCCACATGTGGCGACATGCTGCACTGTTGCCATACTGTCGCATGTGTCATCTTCACAAATTACACATTAACTACGTAGCCTGAAAGGAGGAATCCTTTCGCCAGGGTGGCTCTATCATGCTGTATCCCGCTGACATGTGTATGACTTGCACCAGTGGCAAGGAGTCATGGCGGCTGTAAAAGTGCGAAGGACACATGCTGAGGCCAAGCAGATTGTTCCAAACATGCTTCAGTGTTGGACTGGCGCTCCCGCTCTCTCGCTGTCTCTCTCTCTCTCTCTCTGTGTCTCTCTCTCCCTCTCCCTCTCTCCCCCCCTCTCCCTCACGGCAGCGTTGCCGCTCCAGCATATCTGACTTGCCATGCTACTTACTGCACTGCAGGAACCCTCTTTCATGCGCCAGTACGCTTCCCTTTGCATGGATTCCCGTCCACACTGCCATCAACGCCTACCTGTGCTGAGTTGCCGCAGCCGGCAGCCACGGGCCTTCCTACCACTGTCTTGCCAAGCATGATTCCCCACAAGAACTCTACTCCGACCCCCGCCCTGCCGTGTCCAAACCAAGTATCGCAAGTGATCACCTGCTGGTTCAGCTGCACCAGGTCTGCAGCCAAAGGGTTCTGCTTGAGAATCACCTTGCTCCACGTGCTGGGAAAAAAGCTTTGTAATTGTGAGGGTCTTGCACTCACGCGCCGTCAGCTGCAGCACGCTGCAAACCTAGCAGATCGCATAACACTAGTTGCGTGCCAGAACAACATGTACTGCAAAGACATGCGACAATTGCAGTTACCGGCGCGCGGGGCACAGCAGGTGGCTGTGTCCCGTCTTCTTAATGTCGCAAAAGTGAAGCACATTTTACCAGCAAGTTGGCTGCCAAAACCATCCCAGCCGCGGGGCATCCCTGTCATAGTCGCTGAGGGGGTTGTCTGCTGCTAGGCTGCCAGGGCTGCGCCACCACCTGGCGACGCTGTCTGGCTTAGGCAGCTGCACTAATCACGGCTTGACTCTCAGCAGCATGGAAGCTGCTATGCAAAAGATGGTTTGAGGCAGTCCACGCAAGCCCCTTTGGATTGGAAGATGCGTTCATAGCAGCGAGAACTGCATCAATTTCAGTCAGCGACCCCAAGCAAAAACTCCTGGCTGCTCTCCCGCCTGGAGTTCATCTCGAAGCAGCTCTCCCGCCTGCTTTGGAGGTTTAACTTCCCATACCTTGGGTGAGATAAGAGTGGGGGGGAATGACAGCCTGGCTCAGCTCGCCTTGGGTGACGATGCAAATAATCCTCATGACCCGTCGAGAGCGGATGACCCGCCAGCACCGAGGCGTGTTGTGCCACCCATTGCGCCTCTTGGCAACAAAATGAAAAGCTGCTAAACGGGTCAACATCTCTACTGCCTTAGTTCCCTCCAGGAAAATAACGATGAGCCATACTGACTGATATCCATGAACCTGCCGGGACTGCGACTAAACCTGTCTGTTTGGGCTCTACTTACTTGGAAACCAAACAAGTGCCGTGAAACATGCTGGTGAAAAGTGTATATACAGTCAAAGGCCGGAAAGTTTGCCCCCTCCCAGCAAACAAAAAAAACCCAGCCCTCGAAAATTTGCTCTTCGAGTCTTCTTGAAAGCGCTTCTCAGAAAGCAAAACGCCAAAAGCAAAAGAGTCGGCGCTTGCCAGTGGCGTCCGCTCAGCAGTTGCTAAGTGGCCAAAACCGCAGGCCCCTTTGGGGTCCGTCAAGGGTCTTCTTGAAGCCCCTGAAGGGTCTCTTCTGCCTCTTCCACATCTGGGGTGCACGGCAAATTATATTCCCAGTTTCATATTCAGTCTACCCTAAAACAAGAAAGAGAAGCTGTGGAGACCACAGTTCCACTACAAATTGCCAGTCGCCTGCGCGGGCTGCGCGAGCTGCTGCGCTCGCAGGCCATGGCATGCCCGGGAGAGGCGCGAGGCTCAATCAACACTAGAAAAGCTGGATGCCAAAGTTGGCCTGGAAGAGGAGCCAATATCCACCCAAAGCACCAGCTTTCAAATATCAAGAGCCAAGGGCATCTTATGGACCAACGCAAATCCCCGGGGATGCATCCTAAATGAGGTGAAGGATATGCCTTGACCAATGGCCCGAATTTGCAGTGGCAGCACTCAGCTGCGAACAAACACAAAAAACACAGGCTTGTTGTCCGGTCGCAGCTGAGACGTGCCGAACTGATCCATGTTCTGCTGGAAGCCATCAGGAGGCCCTTTCCCCTTTGGCCCCAACTCGAAAGCATCGCAACACGTAAAATGTGCGCTAACCACTTGCTGGGATGTAAACTCGAAGGTGCCTATTGTTGGTTGACATGAGCACATGCAAATCAACTTGCATACTGCGCAGCACACAGTGAATTTGAAATGGATGAGTAGGCAAGGCTGCAGCCCCCATAAGCCGACCTAAGCAACTTTGCAGGCAAAGCTTGCGCTGACTCTTGAGCCAGCTGCCAGGCGGGTACTACAAAGGAGCAAAGCACTGGCAAAGCATTGAAGAATTCCACATCCATGACTGCAACATTCAATTCTGTAAACCTACCTTGGACAATGCGAGCAACACAACACTTGAACATCACACATTCCGCAGAAGCTAGTTCCATGCTCCTTGCCAGCTGATGTCATTGCGAGAGGGAAAGCAGTTCTTTGCAGGACGGCAGTCCAAAGAAAGTGCACATGCACATCTTATTGTCGTGCCTGCGCGTGTCATTGTCTGCTTAGCAAGCTCAACGTTTGCGCCATGCATTTCTCCCCCAGATCAACTTGTACCTGGGCTCCTTAAGACCTCTCAGCAAAAACAAGTGCCCAAACAGCAGCCCGCCCAAACCACTCATACAGTACCTCTCCAATCCCAAACATGCAAGAGCGCAAAGTCTGGGGCACCCCACGAGGCTCCCGCTAGGAGCGCCTGCGCCGTGCTCGTGGCCAACTGGCTGAGCCTCAGAGGACTTGTCGGTGTCGCTGCATTGAACACATTCCCAGGTAGAAGATAGTAGAATAACAGTGCCCCCAGTGCCAATATGGGGGAATCCTGCTAAACTCTGGCAGCGTGTAATTGCAGACGCTTGGCGAGCCACAAGCTGCCTGTCGAATCTACACGTGGCAAAGCTTTAGAAGGCCGGTGCCACACCTCAGATCACAATGGGCACCAGGCTCTGGATTTGGGTAGACGAACCTCGGCGCGTGAACGCAAGTACTCAACCGCAGAAGTTTGGGTCAAGGCCAAGGCCATGTAGCCATTCTAACTTTACCAAGCAGGTTGAGCATCCAAGTATAGACCCTTGGCACGTAACCTTGGTGCGAATGTTTTTGCAGGCCAATCAAAAAGAAACATCTCTTCGCCAAGCAACGGCTCATTGGGCTCCTCGTCAATGACCAGGGCATCCACCTCGTCCAGAATCAGAACACGGCCTGCGGGAGGCTGTTTCGACGGGTCAGCCCTGGGTTTGCGCTTGAAGTTTACAGGGAACAAATCAACATACCCTCCCTCCAAGAATTGTGGAAGCTGACAGGAGGGGTTTTGGAAGATTGTTCCTAAGGAACCACAGGTGTGGTTCAATAGCAATATAATCCTGCAAGTGGGGTGATGCCAAAGCAAACAAAATAGGAAATCCAGTTGCAGCGAAGGACTGTACTTAGCGTTCACTGTTGGAGACCTTGCTATCCGAACAGTCTCGACATAGCATGCCGTACCATATATATATATATATGTATATAAAATTCACTTGAGGAAGTTGCATACCCACATGGATGCATGAGGATATAATGTATGCGCATGAAACATGTGCTGCATCACGCGGCCATACACACATTTGTGTATGCATATAATATTAAGCACAGTGGGCACATTATTTATTGGCATATGCTTGGGTACGGACATTTGACGCTGATATTTGCATACTTATTACCTTGAAGCAAGGTAACACATCAAGCTGCTAACGAAGCGCACCCTTACTCGGGTCACCGCTCATCGCATCGATCCGTACCAGCAAAAACAAAACCACCGCAAGGACCTGACCGGGTTTTTGAGAACCTGCCTGAGTAGCTGTCGAAGTCTCTCTTCCCATGCTCGCTGCGGGCAATGCTGGCATAGAATGACCTGAGGCGACACAAGTATGAGTTTGGTTGGACCCTTTGGTCGATACATGGGGATTTACGTCCACCAGTCAAGTTTGCGGGCGCTTCAACCAATAAACACCGAGCGATATCATGTTCTGCAAAAGGGGAACATCTGAATCGGCTTGCATATTTCCTCAAGGGAGAGGGGGGAGGGGGTCCCTCAACTCGATTTATCTAGTCTTCCCCATAAAAAGGAAAATGCACCATAAATGGAATTCCAGGGGTCACCCCGCTCCCCAATTCCATTCAATAGTTTGCTTGATCCTGTTCCCACATTGTATGCTAACTCAAACGGGCTGATTGCATCTGGGCATTGAAGATGGTGCGTACCAATGAGCTCTGTTCATTCTGGAACATCCGCAGGCCAAGTTCAGAGCTAGCAAAAGCCACAAGCCTCTTCGGCCCTCCTGTGTTCTTTGCAGTGGGAACCATCATCTGGCTTGTCCCTCATAGTACACTCTAGCACTATACCGTACTATACCCCTTACTTGAGGCAAGTTTAATGTCCGCCTTGCACTTTGTGCCTCGCGAGCAGTTTCCCAAATCTTGTCCGTCCCTTGAAGCCCCACCTGACTTAGCCTCGTCCAATTGGGTTGTGCCGAGGGCTGGGCTGAACATGCTTGGCCTCGCAGTAGCAAATGTCTGCTTCTGGGTCCACACGAGCAGCTAGGCCTTAGCCAAAGCCAGCACTGCTTTAACCCAACATGGCGGAAGCTTTTAGTTGGCACGGGTCTTCCTCTGTTGTTGATGGGCGCTGTGTGTCCATACTCCCCCTACAAATTCACACGGGTCGGCACTATTTAATACTGGTATGTGAAGCTGCGCTTGAGCGCGCACTGCTTGCAAAGCCCTCGCAGCACAGCAAAACAAGCCGCGGGTGCATTCGCAAACTGAGGGATTTGCTTAAGAAAGCCAACAAGAAGCATTAACTGTACAACTTTTGTAGCTGCCCTCGCGTGTCGTGCTACAATGGACCTTCTCGGGCAGCTCCGGCACTTTTCTCCGCCGGTACTCATTCTCTTCCTACACGCGGGGCCGAACGCCTAGCACCATTTGTGAAACGCATCAGCATCTGCTGCCCCATGACCGCTCAGAAACGCCCCGCCAGCAGTCCAGGTCCGACAAACCAACAGCAAAACGACAATGCATGCGAGTGCGCCATGTGCAGGCTTCCTAAACAAAGTCGACAAGTGTCAACAATAGCACATCATTTATCAATCAACTCCTCCGGCACGAAAAGGGAGGTGGATACGTAATTCTATTTATTCCAGACCCCCCTATATAGCACATAGCACATCTTGCACTGCTTCTCTGAAAGTACATTTGTTCTTTTCAGCGGTGTTTGCTTGAGTGGTCAACTGCGCTCACTCGGAGACAAGGGGCAACATTTGGCTATGAGTCTTAACAGGGAACCAGTGGTTAGTGGGCACGATTCCCCCACCCAACTGATGTCCACCCAAGGGTTCCTAATCGATTGAAGTGCTTGCTCAAATGGTTTGCTCGCATGGCCAAAGCATGCGGACAGCTGGAGACGGTCTTGGAGCCCTGGTGCTTTCTGTCGTATTGGTCTTACTGGGCCTGGGTTGCGGGATGGCCTCGGACGGCCTCATTTTGTACATGACAAAGCTTGTGTAGCTGTTTGCTCTTTCCCAGGGTACGGGTCTTGCCGTGAACACGCTCACATGGCAAAGCCAAACAGCACACTCCACATCAGTGAGACTGTGCCTCACTTTGAGCCTTGGTTCCCTCCCGCATCTCTCTCTCTCTCTCTCTCTCTCTCTCTCTCTCTCTCACGGCCAAAATTCATTGCAGCTTGGGGGGACGCCGAGAACGATCACAATCGAGCGGACAGCCCGTAGACTGGGTGGCTGGGTGCAACATCTAAGCAACATGTCGTGCATACATGCGTCAAGACTCCAAGGCATACAGTGAAACGTTGCTGAAACATATTCAAGGGGCCTGATGTTGCACTTGTTTCATCTGGTTCATCAATCTCCCCCAGCAATCCAGCAGGGAAAGCCAAAGGGTCATTCTTTCTGAGTTTCCAGAACTGTGTCAGCAATGCTTTAAGTGCCAAGGCCCCAAATGGGCAAAAAGAAGCTGCCACAAGCAAGCACAAGCCCGCAGGCAAGCAGGCAAGCAGGCAAGCAGGCAAGCAGGCAAGCAGGCAAGCAGGCAAGCAGGCAAGCAGGCAAGCAGGCAAGCAGGCAAGCAGGCAAGCAGGCAAGCAGGCAAGCAATCAGGCAGGCACCTCAGCAACTCAATTGAGTCAAGGCGCCTCCTCCCTTGGACAAATTGCCTGGAAAGACATTGTACTGCTGCCTGATCTTGGTCGCCATAGGCATCCTAGAAGGAAAACAAGGCACCAGTTCGTAACCTCACAACCTCACGACATTATCAAATCTATCCTTTCCTGCCTTCCAAAGACGAAAGGCTGCATGAAAGGGCCGCATGGGGAATTGCATCTTTCTCTCAACGGAGTGGCCGACTTCCCGTGCCACCTTGAACTCAGCCAACGAAAAAATGAGACTAGCTAACCTGTCCCTCGAAGCCCTCAACTTCTCGGTTGAGCTGCTCAAATTAAACTGGTATACCAGCTTCCTTGCTCTGGAAAACACCCCTCTTCAAAGACTGACCTCCCATCGCCCGAGCAAAAGCCTAATTTGAGCTTCATAGCGGCTGTTTAGGGCTAGATTTGACTAGGCTGTTCGATCCACTTAGATCTATGCAGCGAAGCTTCTTCGATGCAATCTCGGTGAACGCCTGAAAGTTGGGGTTGTACCCGCCTGGAAGATCTCAGGGCAATCTACTTTGACCCTTCTAATATGCCAAACGAGCACTACGCCAGTGAATTCCATGCAGGACAACATTGGAATGCCCTTCACACGCACGTGCCACCAATCTCATCATGCTTGAGTGCTTGATGCCTGCAGTCCAATGCGTGCCAATGGTGCAACACAGCGACACGACGCCTGGAAACGGGTTCAGCGACGGTATCCTGAGCCACTCTGATATGCCCGGATGCATGAGAAGGTCGCGCATGGAAACAGCATTCAGAAGTATATAAAAAAAAAAACAACCAAAAAAAAAAAAACGAAGTGAATCCAATGCAATCTAGCTTGGCCCAGCCCGGTCAATGACTTTGGACAATACCTTTCCAACAGCGCAAAGGCTAGTAGATTCCAAATTCATCATCTCTTACCTCTGCTCCTTCGGGTTTTCCTCACGAGACCAGCGGCCCGAGAGCGACGCGCCAAGCATCCTGAACATCACACGCCCTGCAGGCACTCGAGCAACGAAGAAATCGATGGCACCCTTGCCCTTGCCCATCTTCACACCTCAGCCGTTGGCTGGCCGGCTCACTCACATGCACGCAGCAAGGCCGATCTGCCACAATGCAAACATCAAGCACCCCGCCCACACAACGCATGTGACACTAGCCAAGTTGCCCTGAGGCTTTCGAGTTACCTGGCATCGTCGGAGACTTGGAGGCACTTTAAGAACAATATGCGTAGCAAAGATCCCGACTTGCGGTCGGAACATGGTCCATGACTCCAGTTGGGCGTTTGTGCCCTGTTTGCAGTGGCGATAGAAGTCAGAAAACATGACTGCATTGTGGAACGCTTCTCTTGCCTTTTGCTGCAGCATTCTGCTTAATTCTGCCCTCTATTGCGAACGGAAAGGCATTGTAACGGAGCACTCCCGCTTAGATTCACACAGCACGGGTAAGCACACCAGGATTGGGGCGACGTCCATAAATGCCTCATATGCTTCTCGGCATCAGTTTCTCAATGTCGACCAAATGTGAAACTCAGGCACGCCTCGTCGGTTGGCTTGTGCGCGTCTTGGGGCCAGAGGACACAGCAAGGACCCATCTTCCTTTTGTGACATTTTGAGGGTCGCCCTTCGAAAAGAATGGATGTTACTATAGGGATCTTCTGCGAGGTCGCTGGAAAAGACCATTCTGCGTTCAAAAGGGCTCGCGTCGGGAGTCGTTGACTGGGAGGTGCCCATTTCGCCCCGCTGTCGTGACAGAAATTAAATTGGCAGGCGGCCGAATAGGTCGCATGGACATTCACCAGGAAGTCGCCTTTGCGGCCCATGAACCTGCAAGCGTGGCAAGTCGCCTTTGGGAATAGGCTAAGGAGGCGTGGCAAAATGCACCATTCGCTTCAAAGAAACTCCCCAAGCCAAATTGAATGCTTGTGTTCAAGACCTGGTCCGCTGTACTTTGTCGGACAGCTTTGGGGGAGAAATGGAGTACCCCAAAAAGGAAGCGTCTTCCAAAGGACGTCCACTGAAAATTGGTGGGAAGGCTGCTTCAATTCAAATCGATGTCGCCTCGCCAAGCAGGCAAATGCACATTGATCCCCGAATGAAGTAAGAGTAAGTCATCCCTAGCCCACAGTCCGCCAGCAATCAAGTGAGACCTGCACGGCTTCTTCCAACTGACCTTTGGCTAGATTGGTGAGAGCGTGCTTGCAACCGCCAACCGCCGAGTGGAGCACAAGTTGGTAGCGGACGGACTGCTGGCTGATTGTGATTTCTATTTGAGTTTAGCAGTGGTTGAGCCGTCTGCGCATCAACTGCTCACCGCAAGTGGGCTTTAATATTAAGGTATGCCTCCATTCTTTATCTAAAACGACCTTGTGAGATGAGTGGCCATTGGGGCGCAAATGCAAATGTCAAACTTGCCTTGTATAACACGTTTGCACGAACAACAGCTTAGCACATGCCAGTCCCGGACGTTCTCTGAGAAATACAAGTGGCATGTGCAAGTCATTGCCACATAAATATAGATGTATATATATATATACATGCAAAATGTAGGGCTGATAGCCGCAATCAACACATTTTGTCGCTGCATGTTTTGACCTTGTGGAAATCCGTTACATGTCCCATCGATTGCCGACCCCGCCTCCGCAGGATCTTGCGGCCGAGCTCTATCTGGTCGGCGGTGATACGATGGGGTTGCGCCGCAACCAGCGACTGGCCGGGCGTGCTTGGAAGTGGTGTCTGTAGAGAGTGTGCCTCAAAACCAACAAGCTAACTCCCTGGTCAGGTGGGTTCCGTAGCACGCCTCGTGACATCTAATTATTCCGAATGCCTCCAACTAGTGGAAGGTCTCTGACTGTCAACACTGTTTGCTGGCTGCAAAGCCAATGTGCGAAGCGTGTGGGGCGAGTGCGGAAGCCCGGGCCATTCGTCAGATTGCCCGCTCTTCGGTGGTTCACTTTTGCGCATGCAAGCTCGGACTTGAGACGGGGTGCAGCCTGTACTGTTTGCGTTTTCATGAAGCTCGCGCTTCCTTCTGCGGCTGGGGGCGCTTCTCGAGTTCGGTGTTCACATTGAAAGCTCACTATGCCGAGTTGCAGGCAGGGTCATAGCTAAGCACAGCTAGTTAAGCTCAGGTCGCGTTTCTAGCCAGGAATTGGCAAACTACATCCATATATATATATATATATATTCCATAAACACACACATTTGTAAGATGGACATATACACATATGTATACGTATATATCTACATGTTGCCTGCTCCCTGACCACCGCACCGGGCCCGCTAGCTTCAAGAGAAATCCTACTGCTCAGTAGCCTGCTAGCTAAGTGAGAAAGTAACTACCTACTTCATTTACCCAAGTCGGGCAACGAAACAAATTCTAGCTGGCCAACTAATTCAGCTATATAATTAGCTTCCGTTGCTGGCAAGTGATGTGACAAACGCCGGCCAATTGGCTGGCACGCCAACTAGTTTCATATGCAATCTTCTCGCCCATTGTCATACTCAATCAGCAGGCTACCTGCCAACCACATAGCTGGCTAAGGAGATTTTCCAGACCTAGCTATTTAGCTTCCAGACTAGCTAGCCAGTCAACTATTGACCCAGGCACGCATTTCAAAATTGTCTGAACATATATTAAAACACGTAGCAACTTGGCTGGCTAGGTGGAAAGCTGGCTAACTAGGAAGCTTAGTAAGTAGCTCCAATTCATCAGCTAAAGGACTTGAAGCCTAAGCCTATAGGCAATCTAAGCTTGGCATGAAGAGCCCCCTTCCCTTCCGCCGCGAGTCATTGGGAGTTCCGGCCAAGACCCCCATGGAGACTGTTCTGCTTGCAAGATGGGAGCGTGCCAAAAGCAGCCAGCAGCCTTTTAGCATCTATCTCCAACATGGCACCCGAAGGCTCGAAAAAATAAGTCAGCCAGTGGAATTGCTTCTGGAAGCTAGTGTCGCCTTCGTATCCAAACGATAAATATAGATGCCTTGGACGCACGGGCCTTGCCAAGCTGAACGTCCTGCACGTTGGGCTCCAGGGGCACGATGTTTCCTTTGGGCACCTGGCGCTTGACTTTGCTTGTTTGCAGCCAGGGAGCCAATACACGCCTGCAAATTTTGACATGGTTGACCGTGTTCGCAGTTGGTTCCGCCATGAACCAGAATCCCTGTTCAATCCAGAAAAGGGACTGCCCAAAAAAAGCATCCAGAATGCAGCTTCAGAATGTAGCAAAGCCCAGCTTAAAAGCAAACGGGGCAGAGGCAAGCCGGCAAATAGACAGGACGTGTGTTGAACCATTGAAACGGTCTTCGCAGTTCAAAGCGCATCTTGCTGATCTTCAGCGCTGCTATTGTTGCTCTACACCTGTGGTATATACATATATGAATATACATACATATATATATAGTATTACATATATATATATATGTATATTAATACATTGATATATATATATATATATATGTACATATTGCACAACAGCCGGCATTCCTCTTCGTAGTGTCGGCTATCAAGAACCATTTGATATTGCCTGCCCCAATTCTGCAAACTAAGTCCAACAAGCAATTGCAATTAATGTCCGAAAGTCTGAGCATCATTATGCAGAGATATGCTGGAACAAAAGGGCAAGCTGCTCTCTCCTTTGACATTTCTGGCGCCATCATGCGCCATCCTGGTGTGCTCTCTCCTTTGACATTTCTGGCGCCATCATGCGCCATCCTGGTGCCAGTTCAACTTGCATTCTGTCGACTGGATATTTCTCAGGCCATGTTGCCGCACCTTGAAGCGCACTGGCAGGGGTGGCTTGTAGCGAATTGGCGGCGGCATGGCTCAAGGATGTGCCGCACTCAGATTGACCCAAGATGTCTGCAATTGCGACGCATGGCCTGAGACAAACTCTGGCAGGCACCATGGATCAAAAAGTGGTTGCCCCCAATGCGCAAGCTGCGGCCTAAACCCCTGAACTTCCGGCTTGCCCATGATGCGATGGAGAACCAAAGTTGATCCAAATGATGATGATTCCCCAGTCAGGCCAACAATAGCTTGACCAATGAGAGAGGTTCATTTATCAATGCATTCCTTCTATTGGGAGCATCAGTTGGTCAAGCCAGGGTGTGTTATTCTGGAGACTGTCGAATTGACCAAAGTCAAAGGGCTTCTTGCCTTCAAGAACGCAAGAAACACATAGCAAGCTCCCCACCAGGCGGGTAAATGCAAACAATTCATTCAGAAGCTTGCCAATCATTGAGAAAGGAAAGCTGGCGTTGTTGCCGGAAGGGCCAACTCTCTCTGCATTTTTCGGCAGCCTGCTTCTCACCAGCCCTCATTGACTCAATGACCCAAAAAGTGTCAAAATGGCAGGTCAAAACAGGTAGCAAAGCGTGCAAGGTCATGCGAATCGGTAGAAGGTCGTGTATGTGGCAAACCATTCCAGTCTGGATGGGGTGGGAGTCAAATGCACCCTGTGGCAATCCCACCGTGCCGCCCCCATTTTCCCAGACTTGACTGGGGAAAATGTCTCGCCACACCCCCCTCCCCCCTCAATACCAAGCCTCTGTGGGGTCAGCTTTCGGGACAAGCCTTCTTTTCCCGCCAAAGGGGCCAAGCAATATGAAGGGTCCGGTAGAGGCTCGTAAGACCGATTCTACCAGAACTCTCTCCCCGTCGGGCGCACTTTCCTGCGGACGATGTGATGTGGTTGCCGATGACTGCAGAAACCAATGCTGTATGTACAGCTCTGGTGTGCAGTAGCGCAACGCTGGCCGAAACATGATGTGTGCGAAACCGTTCAAGGTTCTGCCCGCAAAGATTTGATTCACCTACCAATGAACGCATCTCAACCACTTGATTGTTTACATCTTCGGCAGTGAAACCGTGGCTTGACCAGCCAGTGGCTGTGGCGATTGAGTGAAATCCATGGCTCCAAGCTTGCAAGCCCCAAAAACATCACGAACAAGTTAAGCTTGCACTCTCATGAAACGCGCCGCGATATGGCTCTTTATTCTTTTGGGGAATCAACGGGAATCAACATGTTCTTCTAACAAGCCGGTCTGAGTGCTTGGAACCTTGCGGGCTGTCGCTTAGCGAAAGCCCGGTGCTTCTCGTGGCGGGTTCGAATTAGTGAAAAACTACACGCACCATGCCCCGATGTCAAGCAAACCTATGGCAGCCGGTTTGGCTTTTGAACTACTTGCGTCAATCAACATGCACCCTGGAGCCTGAGTCTTGAGCAAGTGCTTCAGCTGCAATCCGAACTCAAGCGTCAGCTTGAGAAGGCTTAAGGCGACTGACTACGCACTAGCTGACGCAAGGCTCAGCCGAGGCGCCAGCGACCGACAAAGCAAACAACTGGAGCGACCCTTGATGGGACCTGAAGGAGCCACATGAATTACAAACATTGCAAAGCCCAGGTCGCCAGAAGCGGAAATCATCGGTGTAGATGCGCCTTGCGAGATAAGGAAAGCGGACATTGGTCGAAATTGCATGCAGGCATGCAGGGCCAAGATCAGTAGTTGGTCGTGGAGGCCCGCGCTTTCTTCCTTTTGACTGCGACCCTGTCCACCTTTCTCCTGCAAAGAGGGACTGGCCCTTGCAAGAGACAACCGCGATACTGGAATCTTGCTAGCTCATTTAGGCTTTATTAGGGACTAATGACCTTGGTGATATCTGGGCACGAGCAGGCCTCAAGCTGGAGACAAGTTCTGACCAAAGGCCAAGAAGAACACTTCGAGCATATGAGGCACTTCAACTCGTCCGACTGACCGCTTCAGGCGATGCAAGGCCTAAGGCCTTGCAACCTAGCTGCGAACCTAGTGTACGAGTCGACGCGAAATGAGTTACTGCCCGGAGCTGCCTGAAAGGCGCAAGACCTGCAAACTCGAGGGAGCTATACATGGATACGCGTTTCTGGATCGAACCCGGTAGTTGTACATAATGTACATAACACTTCGCATTCTAGCCGCAAGGCTCCTGTCTCGCTCTTCCTTGAGAATCTGCAGATGTGGCGGAAGTGGAGGTGGCGATGGCTGGTCCTAAGCTACCATCGAACAAAAGTCTCAGCGGGCAGGTGGGGTGAATCCGCCGACAACAGACGGCGTGTTGGACACAAAAAATGATCCTTACCTCTTTGCCTGTTACCCCTCCCCTAACCCCTCCCCAGGGGCACCATTTCAGACTATTGCGGGGAGGGGGGGGCCCGCGTGGTTTGCGCAACTCAGTTTGTCAAAAACATTGGGGTGTTCGATTCCCCCCGGGTGCGCTTTCGCATCCTTAGCAGCTCCAGACATCGCCAGCATCACCTGCATCATCCGCATCAGCGCCTGCCAAGGATGCGGATGATGCAAGTGATGCTGGGGATGTTGCCCATGCTGGTGAAGGAAATGAAGGGGGGAAAGGGGGAAAGGATCTCAACAGCGAAAGGGGGGGAAAGATCTCAGGGAGGAAAGGGAGAAGATCTGGGGAAAACATGCCTTAAGGGGGAAAGGGGGGAAAAGATCTTTGGGAGGAAAAGGGAAATCTTTCTCGGGGGGAACAGGCCCTACGGGGCAATGGGGGGACAGGATCTCAAACGGGAAAGGGGGAAAAAGACTTTGGGAAGAGAAGGGTGGAGATCTTGGGGGGAAAAGGCCTTAAGGGGGGAAACGGGGGAAAGGATCCAGCATCACCTGCATCATCCGCATCAGCGCCTGCCAGGGATGCGGATGATGCAAGTGATGCTGGGGATGTTGCCCATGCTGGTGAAGGAAACGAAGGGGGGAAAGGGGGAAAGGATCTCAACAGCGAAAGGGGGGGAAGAGGAAAGGGAGAAGATCTGGGGAAAAAATGCCTTAAGGAGGAAAGGGGGGAAAACATCTTTGGGAGGAAAAGGGAAATCTTTCTCGGGGGGAACAGGCCCTGCGGGGCAATGGGGGGACAGGATCTCAAACGGGAAAGGGGGAAAAAGACTTTGGGAAGAGAAGGGTGGAGATCTTGGGGGGAAAAGGCTTTAGCGGGGAAACGGGGGAAAGGATCTTAAGCGGGAAAGGGGGAAAAGATCTTAGGGAGGCAAAGGGAGACGAACTCAGGGTGCGAAAAGGCCTTAGGGGGGACAGGGGGGAAAGGATCTCAATAAAGAAAGGTGGGAAAAGCTCTTAGGGAGGAAAAGGGAGAAGAACTCAGGGGGGAAAAGGCCTTAGGGGGGAAAGGGGGGAAAGGATCTCAACACAGAATGGTGGGAAAACATCTTAGGGACGAAAAAGGAGGAAAAGGGATATGATCTCAGGGGGGGGGAAAGGCCTTGGGGGGGAAAGGGGGGGAAAGGGGGGGAAAGGATCGAAAAGCGAGAAGATCTCAGGGGGGGAAACGGCCTTAAGATCTCAGGGGGGGAAAGGCCTTAGGGGGGAAAGGGGGAAAGGATCTCAACACGGAACGGGGGCAAATGATCTTAGGGAGGAAAAGGGAGAAGATCTGACAGGGCCTTCGGAGGGAAAGGGGGGGAAAGGATCTCAACAGGGACAGGGAGAAAAGATACTAGGGAGGCAAAGGGAGAAGATCTCGAGGGGAAAGGGGGAAAGGATCTCAACCGGGGGAAAAGATCTTGGGGAGGCAAAGGGGGAAGGCCTTAGGGGGGAAAGGGGGGAAAGGTTCTCAACAGGGAAAGGGGGGAAAACATCTTAGGGAGGAGAAGGGAGAAGATCTTGGGGGGAACAGGCCTTAGGGGGGAAAGGGGGGGAAAGGATCTCAACAAGGAAAGTGGGGAGAAAAAAAGGCCTTAGGGGGGAAAGGGGGGAAAGGCTCTCAACAGGGAAAGGTGGCAAAAGATCTTAGGGGAGGAAAAGGGAGAAGATCTCAAGGGAAAAGGACTTAGGGAGGAAAGGGGGGGAAAGACCTTTGGGAGGAAAATGGAGAAAAGGCCTTAGAAGGAAAAGGGGGGAACTAAATGATCTCAACAGGGAACGGGGGGGGGGGGGAAGATCTTGGGGAGGAAAGGCAGAAGATCTGGGGCAAAAAGGCCTTAGGGGGGAAAAGGGAGAAATGATCTCAACAGGGAAAGGGGTGGAAAAGATCTTAGGGAGGAAAGGGAGAAGATCTTGGGAAAAAAGGCCAACAGGGAAAGGGGGGAAAAGATCTTAGGAAGGAAAAGGGAGAAGCTCTCAGGGGGGGAAAGGCCTTGGGAGGGAAAGGGGAAAAAAGATATCAACAGGGAAAGGGTGGGAAAGATCTTAGGAGGAAAGGGGGGGGGAAGATCTTAGGGAGGAAAGGGAGAAGATCTGGGAGAAAAGGACTGTTGGGGAAAAGATCTTAGGAAGGAAAAGGGAGAAGCTCTCAGGGGGGGGGAAAGGCCTTAGGGGGGAAGGGGGGAAAAGGATCTCAGCAGGGAAGGGGGGGGGGGGGGAAAGATCTTAGGGAGGAAAGGGGAAAGGGGGGGAAAGGGGTGGAAAAGATCTTAGGGAGGAAAGGGAGAAGATCTGCGGGAAAAAAGGCCAACAGGGAAAGGGGGGAAAGATCTAAGGAAGGAAAAGGCAGAAGCTCTCAGGGGGGAAAGGCCTAGGCGGGAAAGGGTGGGAAGGATCTCAACAGGGAAAGGGGGGAAACAATCTTAGGAAGGAAAGGGAGAAGATCTGGAAAGGCCTTAAAGGGAAGGGGGGAAAGGATCTCAACGGGGAAAGGGGGCAAAGGATCTTAAGGAGGAATAGGGAGAAGATCTCAGCGGGGGGAAAGGCCTTAGGAAGGAAAGGAGGGAAAGGATCTCAACAGGGAAAGGGGGAGGAAAGATCTCAGTGAGGAAAGGGAAAAGCTCCCAGGCAGGGAAAAGGCCTTAGGGGGGAAAGGGGGAAAGGATCTCAACAGGGAAAGGGGGCAAAGGATCTTAGGGAGGAAAAGGGAGAAGATCTGAAAAGGCCTTAGGGGGAAGAGGGGGAAAGGAGCTCAACAGGGAAAGGTGGGAGAAGATCCTAGGGAGGAAAAGGGAGAAGATCTCGAGGGAAAGGGGGAAAGGATCTCAACCAAGGGAAAAGATCTTGGGGAGGACAAGGGAGAAGATCTCAGGGGGGGAAAGGCCTTAGGGGGGAAAGGGGGGAAAGGATCTCAACAGCGAAAGGGGGCAAAGGATCTTAGGGAGGAAAAGGGAGAAGATCTTGGGGGGGAAAACGCCTTAGGGGGGAAAGGGCGGGAAAGGATCTCAACAAGGAAAGGGGGGAAAAGATCTTAGGAAGGAAAAGGGGGAAGATCGCGGGGGGAAAAAAGGCCTTAGGGGGGAAAGGAGGGAAAGGATCTCAACAGGGAGAGGGGGGAAAACATCGTAGGGAGGAAAAGGGAAAAACTCAGAGGGAGAAAGGGCCTTAGGGGGGAAAGGGGGAATGGATCTCAACAGGGAAAGGTGGCAAAAGATCTTAGGGAGGAAAAGGGAGAAGATCTCAGGGGGGGAAGGCCTTAGGGGGGAAAGGGGGGAAAGGATCTGAGCAGGGAAAGGAAGGGAAAGATCTTAGGGAGGAAAGGGAGAAGATCTGGGGGCAAAGGCCTTAGGGGGGAAAGGGGAGAAATGATCTCAACAGGGAAAGGGGTGGAAAAGATCTTAGGGAGGAAAGGGAGAAGATCTGGGGGAAAAAAGGCCAACAGGGAAAGGGGGGAAAGATCTAAGGAAGGAAAAGGGAGAAGCTCTCAGGGGGGGAAAGGCCTGAGGGGGGAAAGGGTGGGAAGGATCTCAACAGGGAAAGGGGGGAAACAATCTTAGGAAGGAAAGGGGGGGGGAAGGTCTTAGGGAGGAAAGGGGGAAGATCTGGGAGAAAAGGACTTAGGGGGGAAAGCCCAACAGGGAAAGGGGGGAAAAGATCTTAGGACCTTAGGAAGGAAAAGGGAGAAGCTCTCAAGTGGGGAAAGGCCTTGGGAGGGAAAGGGGGGAAAGGATCTCAACAGGGAAAGGGTGGGACAGATCTTAGGGAGGAAAGGGGGGGAAGATCTTAGGGAGGAAAGGGAGAAGATCTGGGAGAAAAGGACTTAGGGAAGAAAGCCCAACAGGGAAAGGGGGGAAAAGATCTTAGGAAGGAAAAGGGAGAAGCTCTCAGGGGTGGGAAAGGCCTTAGGGGGGAAAGGATCTCAGCAAGGAAAGGGGGGGGGGGGAAAGATCTTAGGGAGGAAAGGGAGAAGATTTGGGGACAAAGGCCTTAGGGGGGAAAGGGGGGACATGATCTCAACAGGGAAAGGGGTGGAACAGATCTTAGGGAGGAAAGGGAGAAGATCTGGGGGGAAAAAGGCCAACAGGGAAAGGGGGGAAAGATCTAAGGGAGGAAAAGGCAGAAGCTCTCAGGCGGGGGGAAAGGCCTTAGGCGGGAAAGGGTGGGAAGGATCTCAACAGGGAAAGGGGGGAAACAATCTTAAGAAGGAAAAGGGGGAAGATCTGGAAAGGCCTTAAAGGGAAGGGGGGAAAGGATCTCAACGGGGAAAGGGGGCAAAGGATCTTAAGGAGGAATAGGGAGAAGATCTCAGCGGGGGGAAAGGCCTTAGGAAGGAAAGGAGGGAAAGGATCTCAACAGGGAAAGGGGAGGAAAGATCTCAGTGAGGAAAGGGAGAAGATCCCAGGCAGGGAAAAGGCCTTAGGGGGGAAAGGGGGAAAGGATCTCAACAGGGAAAGGGGGCAAAGGATCTTCGGGAGGAACAGGGAGAAGATCTGAAAAGGCCTTAGGGGGAAAGGGGGAAAGGAGCTCAACAGGGAAAGGTGGGAGAAGATCCTAGGGAGGAAAAGGGAGAAGATCTCGGGGGGAAAGGGGGAAAGGATCTCAACCAAGGGAAAAGATCTTGGGGAGGACAAGGGAGAAGATCTCAGGGGGGGAAAGGCCTTAGGGGGGAAAGGGGGGAAAGGATCTCAACAGGGAAAGGGGGCAAAGGATCTTAGGGAGGAAAAGGGAGAAGATCTCAGGGGGGGAAAGGCCTTAGGGGGGGAAAGGGGGGAAAGGATCTCAACAAGGAAAGGGGGGAAAAGATCTTAGGAAGGAAAAGGGGGAAGATCGCGGGGGGAAAAACGGCCTTAGGGGGGAAAGGAGGGAAAGGATCTCAACAGGGAGAGGGGGGAAAATATCGTAGGGAGGAAAAGGGAAAAACTCAGAGGGAGAAAGGGCCTTAGGGGGGGAAAGGGGGAATGGATCTCAACAGGGAAAGGTGGCAAAAGATCTTAGGGAGGAAAAGGGAGAAGATCTCAGGGGGGGAAAGGCCTTAGGGGGGAAAGGGGGGAAAGGATCTGAGCAGGGAAAGGGGGGGAAAGATCTTAGGGAGGAAAGGGAGAAGATCTGGGGGCAAAGGCCTTAGGGGGGAAAGGGGAGAAATGATCTCAACAGGGAAAGGGGTGGAAAAGATCTTAGGGAGGAAAGGGAGAAGATCTGGGGGAAAAAAGGCCAACAGGGAAAGGGGGGAAAGATCTAAGGAAGGAAAAGGGAGAAGCTCTCAGGGGGGGAAAGGCCTGAGGGGGGAAAAAGTGGGAAGGATCTCAACAGGGAAAGGGGGGAAACAATCTTAGGAAGGAAAAGGGAGAAGATCTGGAAAGGCCTTAAAGGGAAGGGGGGAAAGGATCTCAACAGGGAAAGGGGGCAAAGGATCTTAAGGAGGAATAGGGAGAAGATCTCAGCGGGGGGAAAGGCCGTAGGGGGGAAAGGGGGGAAAGGATTCCAACAGGGAAAGGGGGGGACAGATCTCAGGGAGGAAAGGGAAAAGATCCCAGGGAGGAAAAGGCTGTAGGGGGGGAAGTGGGGGAAAGGGAGGAAAAGGGAGAAGATCTCAGGGGGGAAAAGGCCTTAGGGGGGAAAGGGGGGAAAGGATCTCAACAGGGAGAGGGGGGAAAACATCTTAGGGAGGAAAAGGGAAAAAAACAGAGGGAGAAAAGGCCTTAGGGCGGAAAGGGGGAATGGATCTCAACAAAGAAAGGGGGGCAAAAATCTCAGAGGGGAAGGGGGCAAGGGGACAATTCCAAAGGGACGCAAATAAGAAAGCAGGCCTGTAATGTCGGCGGCCTGAGCCGGAGGCGTTAAAATTGAAGTGGAAAAGCAGAGGCGCTAAGATCTGAGAAGCAAAGCAACAGCAATATTTTCTGAAAAGGAGGCAAACCTTCCTGTGCCTCCCAGGACAAATCGTTGTGGCTATGATGTTCAAGCTGGTGTTTGCTGCCACGAAGCGCTGTCTCTTCTCTTTTTCTTCCTTAGCCGTGCCCCAGAACTTGCCACTGCAGCTGCTCGCTTTACAGGCAGCTGTCACACCAAAGGAAAAACAAGCTGAATGGCGGCGAGAGTATTTTGATTGCATTCCCAAAGGAAGCCTGTGCCAAAGGCAACTGTTGTCCGCTCAAATGAAAACATGTGAGAGAACGCCAGCTGCCATTCAAGAGTGACGTTCAGGAAGCAACTCTCGGTCAAACAAAACCCATGAAAGAAAACAGAACAAACATTAAACTAACAACTAGTAGGCAAGCTGATTGTTGCAACGCACTCGGCATCGCAGCCTTGCGACGATCGAATCGATTTGATTAGTTCATTGATTGTTTTGTATTGGCCAAGGGGCTCGCGCTTCTGTTCTGCACTGCGCCTGGCTTCAACCTGGGCAAGGATAGGCAATTATAGGCAAATGCCAACGAACCATAATAAGTATTTGCGACAAAGCAGTGAAAGGATTGCGGTCATGACCAAATGACGCACATCTCTCCCTGCACCCCCTGGTGGTAAAGCAACCATGCCGGGCCAGGATGGAATTCCCTGTGAAACGAAGAGCAAATAGGAGATTTGACGAAGCTCCTTTCCACAACTGCAGGTTGTCCTGAGTACAATTGCTGCTGCTAACCTTGCTTGGGACAGATTGCCAGCCTTTTCTTCCATCTTCCGCCCTCCCCAACACAAACCCAACACTGGTACAGCTACGCATTCGCTGTCCAGCCTCGGCGCGCTTTTTCCTGAGACAGCGGAGCCACACAACGCACAAGCTCCCTGTGCTGGACATGCAGGCCACCACCTACTTGCCACTGAACCATGCTGCCTTGATAATCCCGCTGAACGGGATGGCTCGACATTATTTTACCATGATATGTGTTAGGCTCAGCTAAGCCACAGTTGCAGTCACGTGTAGTTGTTTCACAGGCCGCTTGTGCTTGATTGCGAGTTGAACTCGCCAACATGTTCTCAGTCATGGACTGCCGCCAGCTTTGATTCTCACATCTCCAGCAGGTTGGGAAGGCGATCGGCATGACCGTTATGCTTCATTGGAGGCATGTTGAAGCCTTTTTGGAAGCAGCTCCACAAACCACCACCAACACAATTCCTGACACAACCACATGTTGACTCGTGTTAACAAGGAACATCATCTTTGAGTAGAGTTGTCACAAGGTTCCTTGCAAGTGTGGTTGGCGGAAGTGGACAAAGAATGCGCTTGCCTGTGCACAGTGCCTTGTCCGCAGAATTGCGTCCAAGATTCATGTTCTGTTTCTTTCTTTGGTCCTGGCAGCAGCAAAGGGTGGTGACACCACTGCAACCTCCAAAACTCTCAACCCTCCGGCCACGTCCATGACGCCAATTCTCAGCGCAGCAGGGCCATGATGCAAAAACGTCAAAGAAAGTGGCCAGCTCAGCGCATTCTGAACTGCACCTGTCAAAGTCCGACAGCTTCAGAACGAAATCCTGCCTTGGCATCTTTTTGCATCTCCTCAAAGTCGAACCATGGATTCTTGGAGCCCTGCTGCATGGGTCGGCCTGAGGTTGAGCCCCTTGACAAACGACGGATTTCCCTATATTACCAGCCAGCGCCGGTGAACCCACATGCCTGGAGTGCTTTGTGAATTGCACCTGCGGCCGGTTTGGTGACCAAACTTCGGTGTCCTTCGTGGGCATCAAGCAAACAATCACGGAATCCTCACCCCTCATCGGCTGTGTCACTCCGTAGCCTCTGCGTGATTTCTGCATTCGTCGCCACGGGAGTTGGGTGGGATGGGCTCTGAGCATCCTGCCATCTTTCCAGACTCCTCGTAGAATCCGTCCTGCAGGGATGCATTGAGGCAGGCCATGATACCATGCCAATCAAAGCGCTTTGTGGCCACATATTGGTATCTCCATCAGGGCGGGAACACGCACATACCACACAATACTGACTGATAGGTCCGTCTTTGCACAATAGGCGGACTGAGAAGCAACGCGCCCTATGGCTGTCCCAACTTGGAGCACGCCGTTGATGCTAGAATCTAGAATGCTCGTCATCGGCAATGTGCAGAAGCAATCATAAAGAGTTGAGGCCACGGATGGGTCAAAAAGCAAAGCCAATTGTTCCGGGTTGCTGATCCCTCTCCTTTGGACACTGGCTCGCGGCTGCGCCTGGCGTGAGAAACTGGGCAAATGGCAGCCTGATTTGCTGCCGTACCTCTGTCACGTGAAATTGCGTGCGCATGTGGGTGTGTGTGTGTGGGTGTTGTGTGTTGTTGTGGTGTGCCGTGTTGTGTTGAGTCGTGTTGTGTTGTGTGTGGGTGCAGCAAGGCATGCGTGCGCGCGCGTGCGCGCCTGTGTTGGTTTCGTGGCTGTGTGTAGTCTGTGTGAGTTTGTCTGCGTGTCTGTGTGGCTGTGCGTGTTTGTGGGTGTGCATGTGCTTGCATGCGTGCGCGCAGGTGCGCATACATGGGTGGTGGGTGTGGGTGGGTGTGGGTGTGTGTGGGTGGGTTTGGGTGGGTGTGGGTGGGTGTGAGTGGGTGTGGGTGGGTGTGGGTGGGTGTTGGTGAGTGTGGGTGGGTGTGGGTGGGTGTGGGTGGTGCGGGTAGGTGATATTGGGTGGGTTGGTGATGGTGGGTGGGTGGGTGATGGTAGGGGGGGGGGTGATGGTGGGTGGGTGGGTGATGGTAGGGGGGGGGGGTGATGGTGGGTGGGTGGGTGGGTGTCTGTGCGTGTGTGGGGTGTGTCAATGGGTTGGTGGGTGCATGAGTGTTGTCGTTCGAGAGTGTCTGTTGGTGTGTGTGTGTGTGTGTGCATGTGTGTTCGTTAAACCTAGTCACAGAGTAAAATGAAGTAGCCACCAAGTAATATGAATCTCTGCCATGCCACTTATGGCTAAGATCCCTGGCCAGGAACGTCAACTGTGCTTGGAAATCTTGGCAGCGAGATCTCAAGCGCTGTGCTTCAAGTGCATGGTGCGGCTCTGGTGGCACACTACCGAAGGCTGAGTAAATTCAGAAACAGCTCCCTGGAAACTTGCCATCCTCACGTCCCGGCTTTCGGCTTTTGAATACTTTATGTGACCCTGGCCATGCGCGGGCAAACTATTCCAAACAACCCGCTCTCATTCAGAAGGAGGAGTGAACCAACATTTCCCCAGTCCTGGCTGCAACTACAGGGTCTCGATCATCATTGTCTCCTGCGATGGCTTACAAGGGCCAGCAGAACTTCTTCATTTGCATGCTAGTGGCATTGGTATTGGTGGCATCCGTGGGTTATAGAATATGTAGAAACGCGATGTCTCAAGCTCATCCTTGGCTACGCCCCTTTCTGGCCCCAACTTCAGCCCTCCAATGCCTCGTGGCTGGTGTTTTGCCAGTATCTGGGAATCGGTGACTGGCCATCTGGGCACGGTGTCTCTCTACAGAATCCAGTATCCCAACTTCATTGCTCCCCAGTACCAACTCAACTGAAGAACAGGTAAGTGCTGTTTTGGAAAGAATTTCAAACAACTCTCCTCTCCCCCACTGCAACTCAACATTCTCTGCCAAGCCCTTGGACGGTCATGCCATGCGGGGCAAACTTCGTCCTTTGACAATGTGCGTGTCGAGCTCATCCAAGGCATCTACCATGTCCACCAACACGTCATTGACTTCTGCGCAATGGACGGCGGCAAGACTAGGGCCCCCGATCAAGCAACTAACGAAAAAGCGGCTTTCAAGCAGGAAGCATGCTTTTCATGCGCTATGACCAAATTAAATCAGCGCGCTGAACCAAACTCAAGGATCGGCGCCTGATACTTTGGCTTCATTCTCATCTACCCACATCATGCGCCGATTCAGGTCAATGGACCTTATGCCGTGGCGACGCTAGCCAACACGTCTGACTTGGCCGAAGCAAAAGGCAGCCGCATCATGGCCATTCCATTGTGCTGGGATCATCCACTGGCAGCAAACATACAAGGGTGTGTTTTCGTTTAGGAGACCCCCCCCCGAAAAACACAATGTGGCTCTCCTTTGGTCCCCCTTTTTTCAAAAAAAAGGTAGGAGTACCCTCAAAACAAGACCACCGAATCTGCTGTTTGCTGTGCCGGGCGGCAGCTGATGGAGATCCTTGGCCTTTGCAAGGCCACGCAACTTGGAGACGCCGCGAAAGAAATAATCGCACTTGATGACTCCCTTGCTGTCCTGACGGTCGGGAGTCGCGACCACGACTCCAGTGGGCCGGTGGGCCCATCCACCCAACCACACACACAAACAATTGAACAATATGAAGCATGCAACAGCCAAGCATGAAGATATTTGGAGTATAATGTCACTTGCAACTTTCCCCAGGCATGCCGCAGCTGTGCCAACCCCTTCCCCCCCTTTTCTGGTGGACTGCAAATTGAATCCAACAGGAAGACAGCCTCAGGCAGTGAGAGGCCCATTTTGCGTTGAGACATGCGCTGGAGGCAAGCCTGTTGAGACATGGCGCAAGGCCTCGCCGCAAGCGCGGCGATTTTTCGGGTCGGTCCTCATCCAAGAGGAGGAACAGCATTTCCAGGTCGCGGATGGGGACCTGGAGCACCTTGAGGCCTCGACTCGTGGACTCGTGCGACGTGGCAAGCAGCCTGCAACTTGTGACATGCTACGCGCTTTTGGTGGTTGCTTGGGGACCTGGATGGCAACACACGTGGCGACTGACAAGCGCCTGGCCACTAATGCAAGTTGTCCTGGTAGGCATTGGGAACGAAGGCAAAAACCAAAATACGATCATGCCAAGCCGTATGCATCTTGGCAAGGAAAGTGCAAAGCGTCTAAAGGGTCAACATCTGCACCAGGAAAACAACGTGATGGGAAAAACTGGCATGTCATTTGCATATTAATACAGAAGGGGGTCCGCAAACATAATGAACCATCCTGACTGATACCTATGAATCTGCAGGGCCTGCGCCAAAACCTATTTGTTTGGGGATTTAGTGAAGGGTGTGTCTCTCCCTCTCTCTCTCTCTGCCGCACCATCCGGAGGTGGGGTGCCAAGAGCCCATTTCAGGCTGGCGCGCATCAGTGAAAGGTGTATATTCAATCATATGAATCATATGTATACCCGTGATCGCGTACACCCTCTTAGGCGAAGGGTCGTCTCTCACGACCTCCAGCGCCGCATGCTTTGCGCTTGCTAAGCCAAGCGGCGGTCTCGAACCCGGAGCGTGCCTGAGTGACGGGGCAAGGCCTCACACCCAAAAGCTAAAATCTATATTGGGGGTGTTTTAAAATAGGGGAACCCACCCCCAGGCCCTTTTCCAAGAAAAAGGGAACCCGGGGTCTCTTAAAGCAGCGGACCCCCCCCAAACAAAAAAAACACAAACAACAATATGGTGGGTCTCCTGTTTGGTGTCTCTTGACAACCACAAAAGAAGGGGCGCCCTCAACACCCGGCACAACCATAGATCCTTGGTAAACTTACAGCCAGGCTGCGCAGCGCAATTCGCAGCTCCTCGCGGTCCAAATCCCCAGATCCATCCACATCTGCTTCCCGGAAGATCTGCCTGGCGCGATCTGCGTCGTCCGTCCACTAGAAACCTCCTGGGTACTTACCAGTGTCCACACCCACGCCTTGCGCGGACCGGAGTTTCCGTGTCGTTTTGGGGCAGCGCTGGGAGGTTTCGGTCGATCGCTTCTGGCCGAACTGGCCACATTGCTTCCCATGAACAAGGCCAACCCCGAAACGAATGGGGTCTCACAACAACACAGAGTGCCAGCTACTTGATAGTGGCCATGGAAGGAAGGCGATCGATCCTCTTCATGCCTATCATGAAAAGAAGTCTCAGGAAAATGGGGAAGCTTACCTGCTGCTTTAGACTTGACCGCAAATGGCTTTGCATAGGGCCGGATTGGCCTCTGGGGGAGAATGCATGCCACACATCCATGGCAAACCCAAGCAGTACGAAGCCGAAAGACGCACCTGCACAAGTTGCCAAAGCCAAACCGGAAAAAAATGCCCCCTTGCCAAGAGGAATGTCAACCAAAGTAAAACAACGTCAAAACAGGCAATGATGGTTGATTTGACCGTCAAGTCATCCCCACGGAATGCCAATATCACTGCAGCTGCATTCTCACCAATGAGCTCCTCACCTTGCACTTCCCAAACCCCACATTGCGTATGGGTATGTCTGCTTTCGGGGACCCCCCAAAATTGTGGTCTTCCTTTGAACCAAACCCAAAGAGGGTACACATATGGTTAGGGAGGAATCATGTCTACAGTGAGCCTGGAGTGCACAAAAGGCTCATGTTGGCACGTCTTGAGGGCACTCGCCCGACATGTTGGACTTTATTTCCTTCTTCAAGTTGGCGCGTTTGACATGTCACCCCTTACTTCAATCATAGTGGAAAGTGGGCTGTCAACTTGCGTGCCTCAGACACAGAACAAGTTCACATGAAAGGGTCTTCTCGCATGGCTTCTATAGGAGGCCCCCGGTTTGGAGACCCAATGCTGTCCAGATTTCATGTTTGGCTTGGGATGATGTTCGCCTCGCAGCTGGCAAGCTCCGCAGCCCTGCCTGAGCGAGGCCATGACGGACTCTGCCTGGTTGTCCTGCCGGCGCGGGCGTGGCAATGCAGCTTGGAATTGGTAAAGCCCAGCGCTCTATGGCATCCCCGCTTGCAAACCATTGCAAGTCAACGTGGGCGACAGTTCCATGTCTGTGTGAGAGTGACAGCGAGGTGGGGTAGGTGAGTGTGTGTGTGTGTGCGTGCGGAAGATGGCCACCCTCCAAGCTGGTGTTGCAATTGCCTGACCTGTTCGTCCGTAGGTTGTCATCCACATACCCTGAAAACGATAGCCCTCAACTGGACAATGCGCAAGCTCGATCACATATTGTGACAACTTTCTGCAGCCGCAAAGCCGAAAATCCCGTGGCACAATCGCCGAAACCTTTCCGGCTCAGCTGCGCATCTATGTGCAAATCATTTATCTGGGCGACGGCAAGCGGCTACTCCTTTGCCAACAAAGTGTTGAATGTAGCCACGAAAGCCGCGCCGCCGCACTACGACTTGGCAGTTGCTTCTGCTCCTTTGCCTTCTGTCTCAATCGTCCGGCGCATCTCTGCCCACGGCATCAGAGCCAGAATTGCTGGTGGCCTTCCGAGATCTTGGCTAGCTCACCTAAGACAAATGCACCAGGCACTCATGAGAGATCACATGGTCGCCGCACTTTTTGAGTTCAGTCGAAAAGAACGCGCACCAACCAATTTGTGGAGCACGACATCGCTTGCACAAGAGCACAAGGCAATACAATGCACACTCACTGCACAGGACACCAAGCATGGATGCCCTTGATCATGCCAGGTCATTTTTGTTGAGTGCGACAAGGAAAGCCTTTGTTGTATGGAAGAAGCGCCTGTAACACAGGCACGGGACTTCAACACTTCAGGCTGGAGCTAAGCTGGGCGCTATCCCATTCAGTGCCATCTGCCCCAGCAGAGGCCAGCAAGTAGGCCAAGCGGTCGGCAAAGTGCGTAGTGATGGGTAGCCGCGGCCTTCGTATGATGGAGCCATGGTGCAAATAGCTCAAGTCAAAGACCGTCCTTGGCTTCTTCAGTTCCAAATCTTGCAGAAACTGCACTGTAAGCAAAGAGAAGTCAAGAGGAGACGTTTTGGCAAGCAAAACGCAAAGATGCGATCTGAGCAAGCCAAACGTATGCTGCAGAGTCAGGGCCAGGTTGCATTACATTATTTGCGCCGAACACACGTTTATACAAGAGCCCCGGGCCAAAAGAAACGTGCCACGGTTGGGCAGTCTCGGCCATATAATGACCAAAGGATACCACAGGCTTTCAATAAGCTTGAGCACGAGGATTAAGAATCCAACGGCCATCAACCAGCCCAAGGCCAGCTACGAGGCTTAGACAGGATGAAGCCAAGACGCAAACCAAAGAATCCATGCACACTTCATCCATCAATGACCCCCCATTTTCCTTTTACCCACAAAGGGGAAACCTGTGATCCATTTAGGGTAGGCCATACGACATTAGGGATCATGCATGACAAGACTTCTTCGCCGGCTTGAGCCAATCCATCCCAAAGGCCAAAGGCGCTGGGCCCAAGCGAAGCCGTGCAGATCGAAGGTCCCAACGTCACCCAGGATATTCGCAAGGCGCAGGTTCAGCGGGTTGGCAGTACCTTAGCCACAAGCTTTGGTTCAACATGTTCAACTGCCCCCATGTGCAACTTGAAAGGCGCCCAAAACATGTTTGATATTGTGGCCTTGGGCTTGGCGATGGCTTGGCAAAAAAATCTGCCAACTGCCCACGGATGTGTTCAATCGCATTTTGATGGCTGGCGAAAGCGAACCAAAAGCAACACCGGTATCAGCACCCCAGATGCCTTTTCCGACGTAAATCCATGAAAGTCCCAGGCGCCGTCCCAAAAAGGCAGTGGTTGGGACCCATGCCGCGAAATGCCCATCCCAAATGAGCCGGGATGCCAAAGGCCAGATCCTTGCTGGAGCTGAGCAGCACCTCCTTTTCGTTTAGCACCAGCCTTAGAGCTGGCAGCTTCTGCATGGCATTGCTGGCTTCTCCAGCCTTGTCTGATTCCGTGACCTGACAACCTCCGCAATATTGACAAATATTGACAACCTCCGCAATATTAGCAAAAACGGAAGTGAACTCCATAAAATCGTTGAGTTCCTCGACTCAGGGAGATGTAGGTGATGTATGGAATGCAGCTGCAGTGTTTGCAGCTTTGCTCACCTTGGGTTCATGCAAAAAACCAAAACTGATATGCCAGCGAGAGGCATGGTGCCAGCAGGAGCGGTCTTGTCGGCAGCATAGAGCCGCGGGGACCCACCCGCCCACTTGATGCACTCGATCAGAACAAAGGCTGTGCGGTCATCCTCTGCTGCCAGCTCCTAGTGAACGTATCCAAGCAACAAAGACCCCACGGTCCCTTTGTAGTCACAACTTATGCAAATTGCAAACCTCCAAATGCGCAACAACCGTTCCCGCTAGGGAACAACCCATATTCTCGGATTGGTGACACAAGAACAACATGGACCACATTACCTCTCACACCCACAGCTTTGAGCATTGTCTCGTTTTTAGCTTCCGCAAGATTAGATTTTGTGCCTCAAACTCCGGAATCTCCAAACATGAAAACCTCCATATCGCACCTGCCAGCTTCCTCGCTGGCTAGACTAGCCCAGTGGGCGCTTTTTGTAGTCCCTCCTCGTGGTACGCCCGCAGCGACTCCAGCTCCGCATGAGGGAACTCGCCGTCCCTGTGCAGGATCACCTCATAGCTCGGCCATGCGAGTGGCTTGGCTGAGTGCTCACCGGCAGGCAGTGGCCAGCCTGACAATACGTCAAGCCTGCCTACATCGTGTGGTTGTGTAAACTACGGATCTTGGATTTGGCTCAGGAAAAACGACATACAGGCTGAAGTTCCCTCCTTTTAATTAACGCATACGGAACCTGACAAGGGGTCCCTTATGGTGCCTTTAAAAGGAAAATTGGCTTCCAGGACCCCCCCAGGTTCCTTAATTGGTGGGAGGCTATCCAGCTGGTTTCCGAAGCGCAACTCCCGAATCCTTGGCCATGCGTTATCCGTGCAAGTCACCAGCCGGCCCAGCGCAAAGTCTGGCGGCAGCAGACGCCGCAAGCCTCGAGTGAGGCCGTGTAAGCCCTTCATACTCCATTCCTGAAATTCACCCCATGTAATCCGATAAAATAAATCCGCCTGCTACATGTCTTTTCAGCTCAAAGTCCAAAATATGTGTCTCCCCTTGGACTCTTAATTCCCCCAATGCTAAGCCGCGCTTCCCTTCTTGTAATTGTAAGCACGCATTGCACATTGGATTTTAATATTGGTTTCTTTGTTAAATCCGAATTGACAGATCCAAACAAGTGCCTTGAGCAATTTCACAACCCTCCTGGGACCCTATATATTCATAGATACGTTTTCCCAAAACAACATTTATTGATAGGATGGGGGGAATTTAATATCTATATTACACATAGTTGGGACTTGATAATGGGTGCAAGGGATATGATTGAACCGCCTCATATCAAGACGTGATTGGAACTCCACGTAAGATTCCAGGGTAGTATCCAGGACGACTTTGTACAGTTCAGGCTAGGAAAAGTTGGAGCGATGCCGCGCTTGAGTTGGAGGTTCCCAGCGAAATAAGGCACAGCAACCTGGAACTTTGCGCGGGGCCCACGAGAGAAACGGCACGAAATTAATCCAAACAAAATGTTCCCAATCCAGTGGAAGAAACCTCGAATTTTAAGAAGCAACCAAGCCACTCTGATCCCACAACATTTTCGCTTAGGACCAAAAAAGGCTTGCTCCTCCTGCACCAGTGCAGGCAGTCTTTATCATGTGACATGCGTCCTCCGCGCATTTGCTGGTTCATTATCTCATTGTCGTGTTTGAACCTGACAACCCTGCGTCCTTATCACAAATCTCCGGCTCCCTCCTCTGTCCCCGGGAACTCAGGGCCGATAGCCATGACAAGGAATTCTGTTCACTCTCCACTCAAAAGCACATGGCTCCGACCGGAGCTGCCTCACCGCACCCACGTTAACCAGTTCCAGGCCGATGAGCTTACAGCTGGCACCGTCTCCGCCGCCACGCTCTCCGTGGTGAATGACACTTTTCCCAGGTTCAAAGCCTCACCCTCCACACGGATGGCTGCCACCTCGAGATTCGAATCAGGACTCGACCCAGAATCTACTGGGTTCAACTCACAAGCTCGCCGCAATACACGCACTGACAGCCCGAAGCGAACCTTCATTGGACTGGCAACCTGATCCCCACAATCAAATGTATTCCCTGTTTGCAGTGGGGGCAATAGCAACAACTGCAAACAATCTCAATCGACAACAACTATGGTGTTACAAGTTATCATTATCAGGATGAATATCGCTGCTTTTGAGAATCTCACGCATGCACTGGCTGTTTCCTGGCTCGCTCAATGAAACGGATCTGCTCGCATTTTTGGTATAGGATCCCTCTCGCGAGGTGAAACGATCCTGCACCCTAAGCTCCAAAATCAAATCCAAAGATGGCCACCTGAGGGGAAAGAATAAGAAAAAGTAGATCAGCAGAGTGGCAATGTGGGCAAGCTCTCCAGTTCTGCGCGGCAGGTGGCACACATCGTAGCCGGCAACTGCAACGCTTGCCTCGGGAAGCACAGCCTGTGCCACGCAGGCGGCCGCAGGCGGCCGCAGGCTGTGGAGTGCACGGCTAAGGGTGAGCCAAAAAGGAAGGTGCCAAAGCCGTTGCCGCAAAAAAAACAAGCTGGAGAGGGACACGTTGATTGCACACTGAGATGAGTTTTGTGGTTTCACACTGCCTTAGCTTCAGCCAAGGCGCGGGCTTCTGTCCCTGGAACCACTTGCGGGCATCCAGGGCCCATGGTATGTGCCCCAGCTTCGCAAGTAACCCCACGGCGCAAATGTCCACGGCGAAGCTCAGGGTTCGAGCATGTGGGCCCCACACTTTCTCCTTCCTCGCGTGCGTGCGGGCGAGGACGCTGCGAGCATTGGAAGCTTCCCAGCTGCATGTTTAGCTGAAGCGTACTTCACGCCAAAATAAGGGCACGGAATCTGAACCGATTGCCCAGTGTAATTGGCGAGCCGCAGCACGGACATGTCCATGCGGCGACCAGCAGAACCGAAAGAAAACTTTTGAGCATGCATTCCACGGCAGCCACATGCAGCCCCAGCAAAAGAGTAATGAAAATCAAACATCAAACAAGACGCGCCGTGGTACATCCCTAACAGTATGCAGGTGAAAGATGGCCTGACAAGGCGCGACAAGTCGAACCACTGGCTGGCAACGTGCTGCCCGCGCAGTGAATTGACCAAACATTCGTACTTGGCGCGATCGTGAAAAGCGTCGGCATTGCCTCGCTGATTCAAAACTCATTCAGATTGAACATCGCGCCCGGATACTAAGCTCCAACACAATGAATCGCGCAAAGCTGTGCACAGAACCTGTTGACCAATGACTGCCAACAGCGCAAAGTATGTCTTCTCTTCACCGAGGATTGGGATTGACACAACTCTGAAACATAAGCATCACAAGTGTTTTCAGGCGAGTTGCTCAAGCTGCTGCTTTGAAAAAACAGCACAGCGTCCGAGTTGGTGATTCCCAGCTTCGACAGAATCCCCCTGATCTCATTTGGCTGCGCAGAAGGGGCAAAGTGAGCCTCAGGGTCTGCCTGGATCTTCACGCCGAACTTGGTCAGTCGCTGGCTCACGCGCGGAAGGATGATCGAAATCGCCTGATTCAAAGATCCGCGAAATGGACGAACTGGCTGACATTGACGGTGCAGGGTACGCAACACAAATTCACCAATGCCCACCCAACAATTCTGCAACAATGAGCAATTAAAAACAAATAAAGAAACCAGGGTGAACATGCCCAACACACTCCATGCATGCAACAGCTACCCAAATTACTCTCCAAACGGGTCAAATGTTGGTGATATATACCTACATGAGCGGTGATCAAAATCAATAGGCCAAATTGCGATGATATCATTTGGCGCTTCCGCGTGCTTCCGCGCGCTTCCGCACTGCGGGTGTTTGCTTCCGCGCTCTCATTTCCCTTCCGCGCCTTCCGCGGCTTGCGTCTCTTTCTTGCCAAGCCAACACAACTAGATATTGAGTTTGTCATCCACCACCCGTTGCTTTCGTGAAAAGCGTTGCCAACAGGATCACTGCAGCAATATTGATTCACGCGGGCCTGGCAAATTGTTGTTGCTGTCCCTGAGAGGCTGCAGCTTGACGGGGCTTGAACCTCCAACTGTTGCCTCGTATCCTGGGAGGCCCGGGAGCTCAGTGGAGCCCAGACAGCTGTAGCAAATGGTTTATGGGTCCCATACTCATAACGACGCTGAAACGCAAATCCTAATAGATTTGCAACCGCAAACGTGAAGCCTCACGACACACCGCGGCCAGCGAGAACAACACATCACACACAAGGCATCCAAATCACGGAACCCTTCCGCCGTCCTTCCGCGCCCTTCCTCCAGCGTTCCGCGAATTGAGCCCCACATCAATCTCCACGCATTTTAGGCCAGGGCCGAAAAACGATTTGTTCGGCCCGAACAAATCGTTTTAGTGCCCGGGGAGCTAAAACGATTTGTTCGGCCCGAACAAATCGTTTTAGTGCCCGGGGAGCTACAACAATTTGTTCGGCCCGAACAAACTAAAACGATTTGTTCGGCCCGAACAAATCGTTTTAGTGCCCGGAGAGCTAAAACGATTTGTTCGGCCCGAACAAATCGTTTTAGTGCCCGGGGAGCTAAAACGATTTGTTCGGCCCGAACAAATCGTTTTAGTGCCCAGGGAGCTAAAACGATTTGTTCGGCCCGAACAAATCGTTTAGTGCCCGGGAGCTAAAACGATTTGTTCGGCCCGAACCTAAAACGATTTGTTCGGCCCGAACAAATCGTTTTAGTGCCCGGGAGCTAAAACGATTTGTTCGGCCCGAACAAATCGTTTTAGTGCCCGGGAGCTAAAACGATTTGTTCGGCCCGAACAAAATCGTTTCCGCCCGGGAGCTAAAACGATTTGTTCGGCCCGAACAAATCGTTTTAGTGCCGGGGAGCTAAAACGATTTGTTCGGGCCCGAACAAATCGTTTTAGCTCCCCGGGCGCAAAAACCGTTTCGCTTCAACTGACAAGTAAATATCGGCCCAACCGGCCATTGCAGAAGAAGCCCACGGCACTCTGACTTGCCCGGAGGAGAAGTGAAATGAAGAGGCTCGATTCCTCGACGCCGCTTCTTGCGGGGTGACGGCTAAAACAGGCCAGTGAAAATCGTTTGGTTTTGTGGCCGGGGCGCAGAAACGATTTTGTTTGCCCGAAGACACAATTGTGGCCTGGGGAGCAAGAGATTTGATGTCGATACCTTCCGCTCCAAACTTCCGCGCCCTTCCGCTGTGCAAATTTCGTAGTCAACTTCCGCCGGCCCTTCCGCAAGCTTCCGCGGCCGCCGGAAAACCTTCCGCGCTGATTGATTTCAGCGCTCCCTTACTTAAATTGCTTTGAGCATTTTTGATCGCTGCTCACATGGCTTGCGTGGGATGTCGTTGACCTGCACATGCCCGCACGTTCTGCCCCACAACCAAACACATCGCACCTCCTGCTCCCTGGCGGATGTGCGGCCCAACACCACCGCTGCCAAGCGATTCGGGGGCCCCTTCGCGGCCCGAAGCTCCCATGGCCCGCTGGTGCTCAGCCTCGGGTCCCACGTAAGCATCGTAAGCGAACTGGACGAGATAGGTAATGTGGCAAAATGGGAGGAGCCCCAAAATGTGCGGGGCGTATTTTTTCTATTGTTTCGCTTTGAACCTGCAAAACAGGTACCCTCGCAAACACGCCCACATCCCGCACCAGTTGATACGCGGTGCGTCCCATGATTTACAGGTGTCATCCGGACTGGTCGGCCATCAGTGGCACACCCTTGTGTTTCTCCCCATCTCCAAAGGGTCAAGTGCACCTGGGCTTGAAGGCGCAGAAAGTCGAAAAACGCCTCGCAACAAACCGTGGGCTCAATGAAAATCCATGGGGTTGATCTTTGGATTCTCCAGACCTCAGCAATCCTAAGCAATATTGTCTGAGTGATGCATTTTGTTTGTGTCGGAGCTTTTGGCTTCTGGCAGCGACCATAAAACCGAGCAACATACCTTAATTCGGATGGTATCCTGGTGCGGTATATCATCAGACAACTTGGAAAACCTCCTGAGTGACATGTCTGCCTCAACATGGCAAACAAGTACCGAAACAAAAGCGGATGGAAGACTGGCTGGAAAGGCATGATGAAAGACTCCTTCAAAGTCACTCCGAACATGACCCAGAGCTAAGCACCGCCAGTATTTTCCCAAACCTGCCCACAGCCCAGGATGGCTCAACTACTTTAGGCGAAAGCTGCGCTTGGGCTCGCAGAATGCGTCCAAAGGCAGTCATTGCAGCGGGTACCAGGCACACCTCCATGCAAACGAAGAAGAGGCGCCAAAATTGTTGGTTCAACACAAAAAGTGCTCAGGCGCAGCTGTCAGCCGCATTTCAGCATGCATCAGGTCAGCTTCTCAGAAGGCACTGGGCCCTTGGCGACCAAGAAGCTGCTGCTGCATCTGCGAGCCCGGCTGTTGGCACGGCACTTGGCCCCTCTTCCCGAACTTGGCGATAGGTGCCTGCAATGTGATGCTGTGGATGGACGAAATCTTGCACCACCCAAGAAGCCCTGCAATGATGATTTCCATGTAGATACCATGCAGCAAACAATGGTTTCCCATAATTTCAAAGTGGTGCAGGATTTCGTCCATCCACTCTATGAACAGTCCGATTGCAGCTATTTTGGTCGCGCGTGTCAATCAAAACATGACCTTGGTCAATCAACGCGGTGCGCGTGCGACTGCGTGAGCAAATGTTGGCCTGCAAAATTGATCTGGATGTGTGCCGGCCCAAGTCAGCTTCACGTCTCGACCCGCCGAGCCTCAAGCAGCTTAAAGTTGGATTGAAGCTTCTGAAGCGCAAAGCGGCGGCCAAAAAGACGATGCCCCAGCCGAGCCATTTCATCCTCAGGCGATTGCTTGGGCCGATCTTTGGCCAGATCCGATGAACCTGGAACGCAAACAAAGTGCGACCATCGCATTGGGTAAGCTGTTCAGTCTGATTCCTGGTCGGCGCCCCCTCCTTGAGACAACGTCCCAGGTCCCGATTGATTACGGCTGTCAATCTACAAGTGTCAAAGCTCGCCATTGCCCCAACACATCTGTCAAGCCTGTTTGTTGCTTAAATCATATGAATGCTATGGACTTAACATGGGATGACGATGTTGGCACATACAGTTGGGAGGCTGCCTGAGGAACTCAACATGTAAGCCTTCCCCAGAGACAGCGACTGTATTCTCACCACGAAAAAATAATAATACATATCATTTGACAACCAACTGTGTTGCGCAGAATCCGAGCTTCTGAGACGAATCGTTGTCGCTCGGCGGGCTTCAATGTCATCTTTGTTGGCGGCAAACTTTGCCAGCCTTCCCAGCCTTTCACCTGGCCAACATGCAAGCCGCCTTCTCAAAGGGGGTGTCTCTTTTTTAGAGACCCGCCCAAAAAAAATGGTTGGCTTTACTTAAATTTGGTTTCCGGTTGAAAACCAAAACGGGGGTAAGCCGCCGTGAACGCCGAAAGTGGCTGTTCACGCCTGGAAGTACGAAGCATGACAGGTCTGAAACACGGCAAGACGCTCCAAACAGCTGAGAGGGACCCCATGTGGGTGCGTCATTCTTGAGGGGACCCCCCCAATCTTTTGGCCTTACTTTTGGTGTCCTTTTTGAGAACCCACCAAAAAGTGGTAATTTACCGAGTCAAAAAAGAAGAAGATATCATATATATATATATATATAAACACCAGAAGCAACAGCGGGCCACGGGCGGGGAATCGGATTTGCCGCATGCGTCCGGCTCGCCTTCCGGAGCTTCTGTTCTTGCTGCTGGCCCGAGAGGCAGGGCCTCAAACTGCTGGCCACGAAGGTCATCTTCAGCTCCTTCCTTAGGACGCGCGCCCCAGCGCGTTTTTTTTTGGGGGGGACAGGCTACCTCCAAGCAACTGTTCTGTTTTTGTTTTTTGTTTAAGGCTACCTCCAATCAACGTTGTTTTTAGGCTACTTCGAATCAACGACTTTTTGCAGGCTACCTCCAATCAACGAGTGTTTTTAAGGCTACCTCCAATCAACGTGTTTTTTAGGCTACCTTCAATCAACGATGTTTTAAGGCTACCTCCAATCAAGGTTGTTTTTAGGCTACCTCCAATCAACGTTCGTTTTTTAAGGCTATCTCCAATCAATGTGGTTTTTAGGCTACCTCCAGTCAAACGTTGTTTTTAGGCTACCCCCAATCAACGATTTTTTTAGGCTACCTCCAATCAACATTTGTTTTTGTTTAAGGCTACCCCCAATCGACGTTTTTTTAGGCTACCTCCAATCAACGACTGTTTTTAAAGCTATCTCCAATCAACGTGTTTTTTAGGCTACCTCCAATCAACGAGTGTTTTTTAAGGCTACCTCCAATCAAGGTTGCTTTTACGCGACCTCCAATCAACGAGCTTTCTGAAGGCTACCTCCAATCAACGAGTGTTTTTAAGGCTACCTCCAATCAACGTGTTTTTAAGGCTACCTCCAATCAACGATGTTTTAAGGCTACCTCCAATCAAGGTTGTTTTTAGGCTACCTCCAATCAACGTTCGTTTTAAACTACCTCCAATCAATGAGTGTTTTTAAGGCTATCTCCAATCAACGTTTTTTTAGGCTACCTCCAATCAACGTTTTTTAGGCTACCTCCAATCAACGTCTTTTTTAAGGTGACCTCCGATCAACGAGTGTTTTTAAAAGCAATCCCCAAGCAATGTGTTTTTTAGGCTACCTCCAATCAACGTTGTTTTTAGGCTACCTCCAATCAACTTTTTTAGGCTACCTCCAATCAACGTTTTTTTTAAGGCTACCTCCAATCAACGATGTTTTTTAGGCTACCTCCAATCAACAGTTTTTTTAGGCTACCTCCAATCAACGTTTTTTTTGGCTACCTCCAATCAACGTTTTTTAGGCTACCTCCAATCAACGATTTTTTATGCCACCTCCAATCAACGAGTGTTTTTAAGGCTACCTCCAATCAACGTTTTTTAGGCTACCTCCCATCAACGAATTTATTTAAGGCTACCTCCCCATCAACGTGTTTGTTTAAGCTACCTCCAATCGAAATTCGTAAAGGCTGCCTCCAATCAACGTTTTTTAGGCTACCTCCAATCAACGTGTTTTTTAGGCTACCTCCAATCAACGTTTTATTTAGGCTGCCTCCAATCAACGTTTTCTTCAAGCCTACCTCCAATCAACAGGGGTGACTTTGAAGGGAAACCTTAAGGCTTGTTTTAGGTGACACGTCCTCCTGGAATACCCAGGCTTCATGTTGTTTTTACTGTCGTGACATCTGGCAGATCCTTGGAGAGAGTCGGGGGGGGGGGGGGGGGGGGGGGGGGGGGATGATAATCATCCTTCATACTTCTGTTCTTATTGGCTCCGAGCACTCTCCATGAACTGCCATGCCGGCGCCGTCGCCCTAGCCCTGTCCTACGTGCTTCTTCATCGTCTAGTCGGTCTCGGCCCTCCGGACAGCTGTCCTTTACTTCGTCACCTTTGGACTGCCGATCCGTGGTATCTTGACACCCACATCGATATCTTCACCCATTCAGACTCTGACCCTGTCACTGCCTTTGTGCGTGCCACCGCCTTAATATCTGATAGGGGCCCCATCAACTTTGAGGGGGTGGCTGCAAAGCTTCCTGAACTGCACGGCGCGTGGTGGCGACACCTTGCGCCACACGTCTGCGCAGCTGCTTTTCTTCTTTCAGCCCGTGTTCTTCAGCAGCGGGAGCACTTACAGATGTCTGCGGCAGAGTTCTTTGGCCACCAGCACATGGTTCCTTTTTTGGTGTTGTTTTCAAAAGCAAGCACAGGTGTTTGTCGCGTTTTCTGTCAGCAGCGGGGGCTTTGTGTCTTGTTTGTTCCCGAGGCTTCAGCAGCTTGCAGATGATACACAGGCAGATCGCGAGCAGGATTTGTGGCCCATGTACGAGGACATGATAGTTTGCCAGCTTCGTGACGAGGCAGCAGGTGTTGAAGCGCCTGGCGTCGCGCTGGATGTACCTGGGTGGGCAATGGTGAAATTCAGGCAACACCAAAGGATGGAGCAAGCGACCGCTGTGCAGTTGAAAGAGAACATGGCACGTGTCCGGGTGAGCAGGCTATTGAAGGCGCCAAGCAAGTTCGGGCGCTGCCATCAGCATGGGTGCAAACTCAGGCCGCACATTTTGCGCTCGGGCTCTCACCGGGGAAAGGTGCGCCTGTATTGCGGGCGTTCTTCTCCAATTCAGGCTGCCTGCCCACAAGCGATGCTTTGTAAGCAAAGACTTCGACATGACCCAATTTAAGTTGTTGCCGTTACGCATGCGGCAGAAATTCGAACAGATAGGACCAGCTTTTTTGCGAGGAAGTCGATGAAAAGGGTCACTTTCATGGGCATGTAGGAGTGCGTCAGTGTGTTTCTTGTTGTATCTGCACTTGATCTCAACAGCACTGCAGGCGAGTCTCTTGCTCAAGCAGGTGGTTTTTGTTTTCCGGGGATCTGGCGAGACTAGGCAGCGGCGGGGCAATGGTGTGTCGGCTTTGTGGTAAAGCTGGGCACAACATATTGAGATGCCACTTGCCTGGAAAGTCATATGTCTTAAAATTGAGGCACAAGGCTTCGGAGCGCCAGATCCAGACAGGCCGCAAGCCACCAAGAATGGGTGGCCCCACCTACAAGGAAGCCAAGAAGCAACAGTGGACGCACCCATGCCAGCAAATCTTTGGTCAAGAAAAAGCTCTACGAGAAGAAGTCCACGTGCGCCACTGCTGGCGCGGGCGCCTTGGTGGCTGCCTCGGCAATGGTGCGTGAAGGCATGGTGCAGAAGCCAGCCAAGTGCCCCACATGCGGATCACGTGCCTTGGGTGACCTTGAGTTGCGGTTGAGGGCCAAAGCTCATGTCGCCTGGCGCTGTCAACACCACGATTGCAAGAGGTTCGTCAATGTTCTCCACTGCTCCACTGCAGAGGAAGGTGCGTGGCTGCGGCAGAAAGCCCTTGGAGACGCTCTTCCTTTCCCTCGAGCAGGAAGAGTCACGGCGAGGCCGAGCCCTGGTGGCCGCGACAAAGTTGGGAGGAGTGGTGGCTCGGCCAAAAGTATTAATTTGGTCCCTTTTTTTCTCTTAGGCATTGCGCCGCTTTCGGTTCTTTTACGCATGGGCCTGAGGTAGAAGCCGATGCCACGTGTCTCCGAACCCTGCGTGTGGCACCGAGCAGCACCAAGTTCCAAGTGCTGGTGCGGCAGTGGCTTCGTCACCATCCGGGCCAGGAGACTCCGCCCCACTTCTTGCTCTACGTTTGCGCCTTGGGTGTGACTCAGAGGAACACATCCAAGTTGGTGGTGGTGCCTGCCGGCCTGAGGCTGGTCCCTGCGGGGGCTCGCCCGCCTTCAGAGAGCACTCAGGAAATTCGTGCATCCAATATCTTGCGATGCGTGAAGGCAAAGTCAATTTTGATGGCAGATGGAGCTCGGGCCTGGGGTTCTGCAGCCCGAGCTTTCCAGGCAAAGGCCTGATTGTCAAGCATGTCCGCCATGTTAAGTCAGAGTGGGCGAAGCCAGATCGCATCGGCCGTCGCCGCATCATATGCGGGACACAGAAGTTGGACCGCACATGGATGCATATGAAAGCTTATTTCCCAAAGCAAATGAAGAGTCGTGTGTCCGGCCTCGTGAACTCTCGGCTTTGGGACCGAGTGTATCAGTTTGTGTACAGGATGTCGCGGTGATGTTCCTGGGCCAAGATCTGAAAGGACAGCAAGAGCAGAAAGAGCGCAGCCACTGACTTGACTTTTTCAGTTTTTTTTGAACCAGGTTACTTTTTCAGGTTTTCTTTCGAACCATGGTTTCTATGCAAAACATGTATATATGCTGCGCCTGCCACTCATTGACGACAAGGCACGGGAGCTGGGAGCGGGGATCCTGAAAAGACGTGTTACCTTGTTTTAGGCCCCCAAGAAGGGGTGACTTGACTTGACTTTGATTTTGCTTTTTTTTTTTTTGGGGGGGGGGGGGGGGAACAGCACGCGTCGCAAGACCAGGAGTCTTGGTAATGATCGATGCCATCGTTTTTTACAAGAGTTCCGCTGGTTTGACACACCCTGCTGTTCTCCAGGAGGCCCCTGGTCTTGGGAGGCGAATTGCCCTCAAAATGTTAACATATGCTGCCTTCAAACAGCTCACCCAACTTGAGTGCAGGCAGGAACCGCACCCCTCTTGTCCCCTATTCTGCTTGAGGATTGGCCGGTTGCCGCAGTGTTGCAGCAAGAAAACAAGGAACACTCCGGCTTCATACAAACCTGTTGCTACAGCGTGTCTCAAATGGGGTGTCCCCCAAACGGGTGGCCCTGTCCATAAACACAAACACCCACGTCCCACACCTACACATCCCCTTCTGGCACAGCTTCTCCCGGTCGCAGTCCCTGGAGACGGTGAGCATGAGCTCCCCCGGGGATGCACGTGCGGTGGCCTGCTTGATTGCTGGGGTCTTGGTCATTGCCAGCAACCTGCCGGGCCCGGGCTGGTCAGTGAACGGAATCCAACTCACGTCTTCCAAAGCATCTCTGGAAGAAGAACTTTTTGTGCCTGACAAGGGCACACATCCAAAATCCAAAGCGCCTCTGCTCTTGCACCATGTGTGGTGTTTGCAGCTGTGAGTTGGTATTCAAAAGCCAAGTTAACTACCTTGTCAGTCAGATTGATGTGACCACTCCGCCTATGAACATCCTCATGGACTGGATTCCAGGTGCAGAAGCTCTGAGGATTGCTTCTGGCGCCCTCAAACCCTCTTTTGGACCTTTCCCTGTCTATCAACTTCCCAACTTGCCTACGCACTCGCGAACGAACCAACCCGAACACACTGACTTCTCGCGAAAAGTCGGCTAGAATTTAGGACGGGGGCCAGTTGGCGACGGGTCCATCTCCTCAATCGGGTGCTTGGAAACCTCATGCGCTTGTTTGCTCGTGGTGTTGTGGTTAAATGGACAGCCCCTGAGGCCCTGAGCATTTGCTCCCCCAGCAAAACCAGCCAGCACTTTCTTGCGCAAACTCACGGCCTCTGCTGCAGCTCTTCTGTGAGGTGTTCCTGCGTGCTCTCGTTGCCTCAGGCTCGACGAGGTGCACTGAGTGAGCATATCAACATAGGCATCTACCTAAACAAAATACTAAAGCTAACCTTCCTGTGGGCCAGGGCCTGAACTGAAGATGAGACTAGGCCCTGTGGCCTGCCTTTCGCGGATGTTTGCATGAAAAAACGCATTTTCCCTGATATACGTGTACTACGTGCTAGGCGATTAGAAGCCCTTCGTGAAGAAAGTTGAAGCACCCTGGCGCATGTCCATCCAACTGGATAAGGTGGTGCTTACAACGATGAGAACTGTGCCATCCACTTCGGAAGTTTTCGCCCCTCAAAAGAAACACAGTTCTTGCGCTCTGAAGGCAGCCGTCGAGAAAAACAAGTCTCACAAATATATTGTGGCTTAAGCCAATCGTTCACATAGTGATATACATCAGCCTTTCGGGCTCCCTTTCTCGAGGATGCTTGCTCGCATCGCTTTCGCAAAGCTTTTTCTAAGCTCCCGGTCTCATGCTTTCCTTCAGCGCAACTTGCAGGACAACAGCTGCACTAACTTCGTTCATGCTGCTTTGGAACGCTGCTCGCTTGACTTTTACTGCTACGCAAGAAAAGCCGTCAGCTTTCTAGCTTTCTTGACTTCGAAGGTTCAGTTGCTGTTGCGGCGGCAAAACACGACTCCAATCCAATCCGCCCATGCATCCAATTACACCAGGGGGAAGCAACTAAAGAAACTGTAGCTCACCAGCCCTTTTCTCCTTTTCTTTCTCTGTCCCAGTTGCAGACCACAAGGCCGGTGAACCATGGCGCGTTGCTGCCCAAAGGCTTCACTTTCAGCCCCACCAGCGAAGCCATGGCCTTCTGATCTCCAAAGTTCCGCTCCTCGGCTTTTGTTCTACTGGTCAACATGGCCAGCTTCTACTCAGAAGCGGAAGTAGGAGCAATAGTGTGCCTGAAGGAACGATGCTGGTCCGGCTCAAGCTCCTTGGAAAGGGGATTAGGCCAAAGTTGACAAACAATGACTCCAAGAGCGTCAGAGATGATCTGGCAGGATAAGCCAAGAAGAAAGAGGGGACACGTGATTTCCGTAACAGGACAATCATGACTTGGGGCCTGATTCCAAACCATGCGGCAAAGTCAAAACATTGGCATATCGGGTATGTGCCACGATATGGGGACCCCACAAAATTGTTTGTTTCCCTTTGGTTTCCCTTCAAACCCCCAAAAGGGTACCCATGAGACGAGTTTCCTGCCCTTCCCTGCTGCTGCGCTGCTGGAGGAGCATACGCTTCCTGATTCATCGCCACACCAGCGTACGCTTTGCCGTTCACCACGGCCTCAAACAACAGATCTGCCAAAGCAGCTCTTCTGCACGCACCAAACAGCCGAAGCATTGCAAATTGTAACAAGCCTTGGTACAGAAAACCCATGCGGAAAATCGGGTTGGCATGAAGTCTGAGTTATGAACATCCAGCAGAGCATGCTTCAATTTTCGATGCGACTGGTGCTTTGTTCGGCCCTTGGGAAAGCCACAGTATCCCCATGGCCCCATGAGGCTGGCAAGCCAAGATAGGAGACCAAGATACGCCCCCTGTGCACAAAGTGCATCTGGTCAAATCAAAGCACGGTGTTGCTTCTGGTTTTCCAGGTACCTAAGGCACCTTGGGTAAAAGATGCAAACAGCCTGGCGTCCTGAGCTCCCGCGTTTATCTGGCGCAACCTCAACTTGCAACCGCACAGCGACTTCCGTAGCAGGGTGGGGGACCGTCCATGTACATCTCCCATGGAAAATATCTAAGGATGCATCATAACTGTAGCACCCTGAGTAGAAAGTGCAAGCACCGCGCTGGCATCCTTTCGTGCCAAGCATCGCCGCGAATGCGGAACTTGGGCTGGACCTCCACTTTTATGCCGTTGTGAGGCACTTTTCGGCTCCTGAGCGAAGCCGAGCGAAGCTAAACCAATACAAGGCAAGCCATGCTAGAAGTTGCGTCGTGTTCGTGACAAATCTCCACAATCAAAAAACATCACTACAATGAACATGAGACCAACGAATCCCAGACGCATCTTGGACCCTGAATCAATCAGTGAATCGAACCTAAACGCGAACCTTCCCCTCTTTCAATCCACTTTGAATCTGATCAAACCAACATTCACCCTGCAACGATCTCAAACAACCCCAATAGCAGCCTCAAACGGCTTGACCGGCCAAGCATTGCTTCCTGCCCGAACACTATTCTTTCAAAGGTCCAGAGACACACATATGGGATTCCATGACGGAAAGAAGCTTTGGCTTTTCAGGTGTGCTGGACAGCTCCGATTGGCCAAAGTTGAATACGCTGGGTGCAACTGAAACACTGCAAACTTGGGAATCAAGGGTGGCGTTCTCAACATTGGCGGAAGGAACAACACCCGAAACCAAACGCCATCTTGGCCAGGCACTCTGGAAGATTCATCTTGCCCTCATCTTCCTCGGCCACGAGCAAGGTTCGCATGCATCCGAAGCTTGGCTTGAAGAAAATTGCTCAACCGACCCCTGTTCCTATGGTCAAGGGTCCCAAAATAGGGGGCCTCCAAATCCAATAAGGGCTAACTAACGGCCCCCTGACCTGCAGCCCAAGAAGACTCACATAGTCACACATATGTAGCTTCCCGGTTTTGGGCAAGCAAAACACATCAAACAATAACTTCGTACGTCAGAAGGCCAAGCATAGCAATGAGGTACTGTCACAACAGTCAGTACCTGTCCGTTCCAAAAAGCAAGCTGAGCACATGCTGTTCTCCATAGTCACGAGGAATCTGTAAAAGTGCTGATGCTGCTGTTTCCTTGCAAACACGTGCAACAAATTTGCTGGGACAGAGTGATTGCCCGAACAGCTATATGGATGCAAACTTTTGGCGGCCTGTCCAGCACTCCCATTTCCCATGTTCAGCCTCAAAGCCCCACGTATAAAATGTCGGCAGAGCTTCACAAAGCGCGGAGATGTACCGAGCATATTGCAGCTCATCCAGGTCTTTTTCGGAGATCTCTTGACATGTGTCCCTCTGCGCAGGTTCCGCAGAAGTGTCTTCCAAATTCACGAGCAGCTTTCTTGCTTTGATGATCTCGCCCACGACACGCCATCCATTCTTCATGTTGTAGACCCAGGGCACCTTTAATTCGCGGTTCCAGTCGTTTCCGGGACAAGACCAGAGCTTGAATTCGTCCAAGAGCCCCCGAGGCAGCTCGAAGAAGTCCGCATTCGGCCCTGATGTCACAGACGCCTTTCGTGCGGGGGAGCGTGTTTGCGTTGACCGAGCTGGTTGCTGAACGCGCCGGGGAGGCGGGGCAGCAGAGAAAGGCTTTGGTGGAGGAGGCGTAGCCCGTGAGGAGTCCACGAACTTGAGCAAAGCTTGTGCATATCCCTCCTTGGACCTTGGATTCAAGTGCAAAACTCGGTGCCGTGTCGAAGGCAATCAAGAAAATGCCACGTCGGCGAGGACGAATAGCTGACTCCCTATGTTGGGGGCAATAGCCAGCCATACAAAATAAGCAGAGAGGCATTCATCAACATCAAAACCAACAAGGCTGCAACACCATCCTGGAATCCTAACAACCAACAAGGCTGCCACCATCTCCTGGCTGCACGATCGCAGGCCAGGTGCAGGGCCACATCTTTTACGGGATCAAAATTGTAAAGCAAGGCCGTACCTAAGGCCGCCTGGCCATCGACATCCTGCACTGCAAGGTACTGGTAAGTGCCGAGTGTGCCGAGGTGCAACTTGTTGCGAACCCATGCGACGTAGCGTGGATCCTTCTCTGCGACTTGACGCAGTGTCAGCTGGCCCTGGGCAACTGGCCATGGAATCGCACGCCTATCTAAATGAGACCGGCGTCCCGAGCTACTAGCTCCAGAAAGCCGTCTCTATGCTTTGAGGGCCACAAGCCATGTGAGTCACAATCAAAACCTGGCAATCAAATGGCCGACCCAAAGCCATGAAAAGAATCTAGAGGGCGGCCACATCAATTTCTGGCGGGGGCAGTCCCTTAGTATCAGCTTTTGATGTGGCCTATCCATGATCCCCGCCTTGTACTTCCCGAATCGGATGAGATCATCGCCCCCTTGCGGCCCTTGCGCGCGACATGCTACTGGGTGCCTAGGCTCTGGCCTAGGCCCCAAGCCACGCAGCGCCAGGCTCACAAAGCAAGGGGCTACGAAGAGCGCCACCAACGCCCCACCCCGCCGCATGGCTCGGCAAGGCTCGAGCCCAAGTTGCGGAGAAAACGCCCGTCCGAAAACTGCATCATAGGGAATGCGCCTCTCCCTGATGAATCAAGTACCTCATGGTACGAGGTCTCTGCTAAAACTAGCTGCATGTCGCGTGGCTGAATGCGTGGGACCAAAATCTATTCGCAGGTGAAGCATGGTGGAATGCAAAACTGCGCGCCAACGAGGCGCTCCAAGGGCCCCAGTGCAAAGTCAGGTAACATGGCCGCCAATCAACTCCTCAGGTCCTGCTCCTTCTGGTAGAGATCCCCACAGACTGTGGATGCTTCCATGGCACATTCCTGACCCGCAGGAAGGGCATCATGACGAAGGGCTTGGGAGAAGTGACAAGATGTGGGGCCAACCAAAGCAGAAACAACTCATCCTTCATGTCGCCTTCCACCCGATTCTCGTGACTGCTACCCGTTTTGGGGTCTGAGGACAGCACAACCACCACTCCGGTGACGTTGTTCCTGGCAGGAGCAGGCCACACACTCAGCTCCCAAGCGTTGCATTTAGCCCTGCCGAACATGCCTTGGAAGCAACAAACACGTTTCGAGAACGCCTTTGATCAAACACGCTCCATCCAAACAACATGACACAGCCGGCAACTTGCCAGCAAATGACAACTAAAAAAACAAACAAGGCTGCAGGGTCAAGCATGCTGCGCAATCACTCCTTCCCGGATGGGTGAGAAAGCACATTTGCCCACGTTAGCAGGTGAAGATCGGTTGCGACTAAGCCCAGCGCATCAGTGCAAGCACCACTACGCAATAGAACACGATAAAGATCAGCACCTCGATGTGGGGCACTACAGCACTCAGTTGCTCAATGATGCTGCTGCATTGCTGTTGGTTTGTTGGCTGGAACCCATCGTCTCATGTGGCCGAAAAAAATACGTATGTGTTCACGGTTGAGCTGCGCGTGCTCTTGTGGTCGTAACGGAGGCGCGGCCAAGGCCCTGGTTTAACGGACTTGGACCCTGAGAGCACTGTGCATCTTAACCATGTGAGTCGCAATCAAAACCTGGTACTAAAATGGTCTACCCAGAACCATGTACACGATTAAGAAGGCGGCCGCAGCTATTGATGGTTGGGATCGTCCCTTACTCACCTTCATCTATCCGGGTTTTGATTGTGGCTCACGCGTTTCAGGACGGATGCTTGCCCAACAAAAAAGATTTTTTACAGTGCCATCTAAAGCCTTGAGGACAAGCGGAAGCCGACAAAAGCTTTCTGGACACGGTCTGATCACAGCATCATAAGTCATGTGGCGCCTTTGTTTGTCAACGTCTGGCAAGAGACTTTCGCCGACCACTTTTGGGTGCCTGTATGCAGGAAACATAAGTGTGTTCATTAAAACACAAGCAAAAGCACAACACCTGGAAGTCCACAGAAGTAAACAACGCAAACATATGCAGCATATGTTGTCTTCGAAGTTCAAACGTAACAGCCCTGTTTGGGTGCCTGGGGTTCCTTTTGTGCTGGCCATGGGCACATTGCCCATTGCGGTGCATTGCGGTGCCCATGCGCTGTATTTACATGTGTTCTTGTGTGCACAGGTTGCAACATTGTACTTTGCGTGCGTTCATGGCATCGGTGCTCACCCTTTGCGTATCATGTTCTCGTTTCCTGGCATAGCTGATGTGAACGCATCCGTGCCTACAGTCGGGCGGGCTAGGCACATCAACTTTTTGAAATGTGTTACGTACCTATGGGCAAGGTCGATGCGACCGGGTCACAACAGGGTCACATCACCTCCATGTTTAGCTTGCGTTTAACCATTTGAACCATGCTTGCAACGCGGCAGCAAGCAAAACAAGGTAGTGAGGCAGCAGAAAGGCAGGGGCAAGCCAGGAGCAAGGCAGGGGCAAGCCAGAAGCAAGGCAGGAGCATGTTGGGGAACATGCTGCGAAAAGACGAACCAAACTTGGTTTTGGAGACAGAAACGAGGCCCCAAACGAGGCCCAAACGAGGCTCAAACGAGGTCCAAAAGCAGCCAAAAGCCCCGGTGGCCCAACCGACAGGTCCCTAAGCACATTTACTGACCTGGGAATCTAAACAATGCAAATGCACGCGAAACAATGCAAACGCATCTGTCAAGCTGCTCTGAAAAAAACTATTCGAACAATGGGTGTGTTATGCTTAAAATTTTGATTGGCTTGCTGGTTGTTGTTTTGGTTGTTGCTGCTGCTGTTGCTTGCGGGATGGCTCTGAAAGGACTTGAGGAAAAGCATGCTAAACGCAACCTAAATTCAAGAATCGATACGACCCCCCTACAATGCTTTCCCCAATGGCAAGGAGACGGTCAAGCCAAATTGATGCGACTAGCCTACTTGACTGTGAGCAAGAATGTGTCACTTTTGTTTTACTCTTTTTTTCTTCCGTTTTTTCCTTTTTTTTCTCGGAGGACATACTTAACACACTCACACGTCAGTGGAAGCCTTGCTCCATCTACAGATTCAGCCAGCAACAGTTCAAACCTCCTGGCGGGCAGCCGCTTTGGTTTGCAAAACGGATTTGCCACGAAATGCAACACATTCGAATGGCTTGCCTGACGACCCAAACAGCAAGCTAGGCCAGCTTTCCAGCGAGCTGAGCCACCGACTACTATCGGGTCCTGCGGCTGGCTGCGGCTGTCAAGCAAGATCGGATCAGCGTCAAGCTGTTCCGCAAATGACTTGCTTCAGCAGGTGGCGCAACTTTGTGTCACAGCACAGAAAACAAAGACTAGAACCAAAGGACAAGGCATCTGACCGTTCACTTCAAACAATCACTTGCAAAAACATATTATCTTCTGACAATCCACGCTCCGGTCCCCACGCATTGAAGAAACATGATGTTGTTTGCGGCTTGTGTTCTTCCCTGTGATTCGTTTTGGAGGTTGACAATTTATAATGTCCTGCCGAGATCCTCTATTGAAGAAGACTCGTTTTGCTTTCTGACCCTTGGGGTCGGTATGAGGTTTGAGAGGCTATTGACAAAAGTAAGGAGGCCCGGCAGTCAGTGGCATCCCCGAGGGGCATGATGCTAGTTGGTGTCCCTTATGTTCTTTCCACTGGGAGAAGAGAACGCAACGGCTGTCAATTTGCAGAGTCATGCTGCAGATGGCACCCACTGAGAATGGCAATCAACACCAAGCCCTTGACTCATGCCGCTCCTTCTCAACCATCGGCCATACGATGGAATCCGCCCACGCGTCACGAAGCAGAAGTTGAAACATTGAAACCACCTTGGCTCGAGTTCTCGATGATCCACCCGCGTCACTCTTCTCTTGCTTCGGGGACGTGAGCGCATGAACGAAACAAAGCTGCAAGAAGCGTGCCGGCGTGCTGCATCACAAATTCCCATGCCAACGGAAGAATCAGACTGAACTGCCCGCACCTGTTTCCTCTCAGCACAAATCCAACAATCACCACCACAAAGCCATAAACGCTGCCATCAGCAGGAGCATTTAGCACAACATACATCTGCACCTCCGACATGCGCTAATCTGCCGGGCCCCGTGTGAGAAATGCAACCAATGTTTCGCTCTGGATCCGAATGAAACGGGTGACATAGCTGGCCAAAACGTTTGCTGTGCCGAAAGCAGGCGTATGGATGAGAACACGTTTACACGTTAAATTTATGATTGCAGAAAAAGGTCCGCAATTCCAGAGTCGATGGAAAGGTGGCATCTTTGCATCCATCCTGCCGTCCAACAATCTCCGTCCGCCGGCACGCGTCCGCATTTCGCCAAGCAGCCGTCTTTCCTGCAACGGGGCAATCGAGATTGCCCACAGCCAATGCAAAGCCACAAATTCGATTCATTGAGCAAACCGAACACGTGAAAGCAAAAGGGATGCAACAGTATGGGTGCTTTTGCCTTGTTTGAGGGTGCGAAGCGAGACTCCGACGTAAAATCGAAAAGGCCAGTCCTACAGAGCCCCAGTAGTCTTCCTTTGTCCAGGATGCTCGCGACAGGTTCAACTCCTGCGCGGCGCGCGGAAGCTCAAGGGGGTCGCTTGCAACTAACTCATGGGCTGAGATGGGAGGTGGGAAAGCGCTAGACAATTCCAGCGCAGCAGCAAAAGGACATTGGGAGTCATCCCTTCGTCTTGCTGGCGACACCCATGCGAGCCACATAGGGTCCAGCGAGGCATCGGTCAGCACAGAGATAGTGATGAGCACGGACATCACCCAGGTGGTGCCGATGATGAGAAACCCGCACCAACTGGGCACCAGAAATCACAAATGGCGGTGAGGCGCGTCCATTTGAAACATGTGCCGGGACCGGGGGAAGGGAAAACGGAGGGGGGGGGATGCGCTTATTCTTTCCAGGGATCGAGGGATCGATCTGAACAGACCGCCCCGAATTCAAAATATGCTGACATGGCCAATCAATTGTGCCGATGTTTCTAGCTAAAGATCCGATTGGTTGCGTGGTGATTCTGCCTGCCTTTTCATCTACCCAGGGTGGTCGAACTTTACCCCAAGCTGCGGTGAAGAAGTGAAGGAGTGAAGGGTTTTCGTTTGGAACCCGCAATCTCTCTTTTGCATCTGCACCCGTGGGGCACCCGTTGCCAAACCCTACCAACTCCCTCGCTTAGACAGCAGAAAGAATAAACTGCCCACCCCACAGCATGCCGCTTGCAAGCAAAGCGTCAATAGGGTGAGCAAGGTTTCTCGCAGCAACGAGATCACGATCCAAAGCCTGGCAGCATGCTGCACGGGTCTGCCAGTGTCCGCGCCCTTCCGCCCAGCCAAATCACATACACGTGTACACGTACAACACATACAGAACCCTGCGCACACAAAACCGAACGAAGGTGTGGTCACGCACATAGCGATGCAGCTTCAAAGCCGACAACCAGCTTTTCTTGATTCTGATTTCAGGCTGTCCCAACAGAATCAGCAGGATGTTTCGCTTTGGCCCCATACTCGCCAAGGCACTCGCGGAATCCCTTCCACATCTGAATCTCGTTGATGAACTGGCTAATGTGCACTATCCTGCAGTAAATGTGCGTCGTGCACCACCCAATTGATCTCGCTCGAGCCAGTTGCGCTAAGGGAGCCTGGTTCAACAGAAGTCCAAGTCTAAAAAACCAGACACACACACAAACAGGGTTCCTGAAAGACAGAGTCCCAAAAACGCCAAATTCAAAACTCGATCCTTTAACTTTGCTAGACAAAATGTGCCAGAACATTGTGCTGTGTCAACATTCTGCGCAGGCCAAGTCCTGAAGACGCTCGCAAACTTGAAGCCGCTGGTTTTCCGGCCCAGCGGGGATAAGAACCACAGATCGAAGCAGCGCATGCCAATGATGACCTGGGGGCGCAGCGTCTGCAAAGGCAAGAAACATGATGAAACAACTTGGCCGAAAGAAGAGCTAGCCAAGTAAGCAACCGGTGATTCTTATGACTAACTACACATCAAGGACAACCCCTCAAGGACTTTTGGAAGCCTCTAGGCTGGAGCGTGGCCTGACCCGGCTCAATGGCCGCCAATGGGTTCGAATGTGTTGCGCCCGAGGCTGCCACAAAGTCGAAGCAGTTCATAAAGTCTATGCGGTACTCTTCCTGTCGCCACGGCGAGCTCTGAGTTTTTGCTCCACTGTGTGGCCTTGTGAGCATGCACATGGCCCAAGAACCCTGCATCACATCTGTCACACATGGGAACCCCTCGAAACGAATACCCATCATGGGCTGGATGGGATATGTTCCAAATGGCATGTTGGAGGGAGGTTGGAGGGTTCTTGGCCTGAAGGAAGGTATGTTGATTGAATGAACTCGATTTGGTCTGCCACGCACTTGCCGTTGAGCCTAGGCAAGGCCTAGGCAGGGCTCATACCGTCAACGGGCAACGGTACCGCAAGGATCCCAAGATTCGCCTCGGCCGCAAAGGGGCCAAGGGCGCTCAGATCTCTTCTCCAAAGAGTCTTCGCTTTTCCCCTCCCCCACAACCAAAATTTTGCCGGCCCGCCCCCCCCCATGTCGACTGGCCCAAAATCCTGTCCGGCGGGCCTTGAAATTTTCGGGGTTCGTCGGCGTCCAGCTCCATGGGTCCATTTTTGTGAAAATCACTAAAAAATTGCTTTTGTCCTGAAAAGCATGACCTCCTGCCCAGCCCAGGCCCCGGCGCATCTTAGAGCATGCCAGCCACTAGGCCGGCCCCCAGCTTCCCAGCCCGCCAGCAGGCTCCCAGCGTGCCAAGGTCAGGTTTGTCTAAGTCTGAGACTGGCCTCGAGATTGGTCTCAAAGTGCCCCAAGCAGCTCAGCCCAGGCTGGCCAGGCCTTGACCTCCTGCTCCAGCCAGCAACTCGCTACCCAGCCTCAGGCCCAAGTGTGTATGAGACCCGCCCAAGCACGGCTCAGCCCAGCCCGCCCAGCCGAAGTTCCCGGCGCAACCAACAGCGTAGTCCGGCTGCCCAGCAGCCAGCAACTGAGACTAGCTTCAGGCCCAGCCCAACCAGCAACCCGCCTAAGCAAACCTCACCCAAGCCCACCCTGTTTCAGACTCGCAGGCCTCAGCCTATCTAGCGCCGAGACTGGGCCTCACCAGCCTGGGCTCAACTAGCGTCTAGCCCAGCCCAGTCCGCTGCTGGCCAGGCCTGTCTGACGTGTCTGAACGGCTGCCCAGCCCGCCGTAAACTAGCTTCAGGCCCAGCTCAACCAACAACCCACGCAAGCAAGGACCAGCCAAGCTGCCCGAGACTGTCCGAGCAGGACGGCTTCCGAACATCGAACTAGCACGGGCGAACTGGTGCGGTCACAAGCTTTCAGTAGGATTCGGACCTTCCCAACACTGGATTTCGGTGTTCCTGACCCTTCCCTCAAACTAGGCTGGGCCGAGGCGGGCAACGCGAAGCGTTTACAATAAAAGGATCCCATAGTGTGTCTTTTTTTGCGGGTACCATTTGGGGGTGTCTTTAAAGGGAAAGCAGCAGGAAAGCAACCAAATTGGAGGATGGCCACTTTGGAGACAAACCCATATTGATGAGTGGGTCGGCATCATCCAAAGAGCTTCAGATCTCCGAAAATATCTCCCTGCCTTGGTCTCATCCCCTTTGAAGAAGCGTCGAGGCTTGGCCTCGACCATGCGAACTATGAGGTCGATCACGAAAAAGGCCTCAGACCGGAGCTCCGGAAAGCTCGGGCTTTGGAAGAAGCATCAGGTCGCTGTCCGGCCGCTGGTGCCCAAGGCGTGACACACTGTGCGGCACAATTTGCGTGTCAGTGATCTGGGTTTTGTGAGGTGTACGGACAGAAGCTTCGTATGCCGCGCGCCGCACTTCGGATGAAGAAAAGCCGACATGTCACTGGTGGCTTGGAGAGGGGTCGGCAGGAAAATCCCACGTGCTTTGTCCCAATGTGCGGATGCACGCGTGTACATCAGCATCACGGGCACCGGTCTCATCAAGGGAGTGTCCCAACACAATACCGTTTTGGCCCCTTGATTTCCTTGTATAGAGTTGCATTTAGGGCCTTTTGTGTCCGATGGGGGGAGGGGGTGCATTTTGCAACCCAGGACCCTTTCTAAAGCAAGGACTTGCATAGACTTTGAAAACACCTTCCTTTCAGCGCCCCTCTGCATTGTAACCGGCCACACATAACCTGCCCCAAGCGTTCAGCCAAGAAGCCGTGATGATGTTTTCCAAGATCTGGCGAGCTGATCATGCCATGTCTACCCACTTGTCGGTCCAAGGATGCTGGAGATACTCACCGAATGGTTTCTATCAGAAGTGGCTGCAATGGAAGGAGCATCGCAAATGATCTGCCGGTTTGGGTGTGCCATAAAACATCTGGCGAGAGCTGGAAAAGGCCATTCAGTGGGAAAAGCAGCCCGACATGTGGCCATGCGTCCCTCCTGCCTCCCAGATGTACGTGATATTGTCTGGGCAGTGGTTGGTGTTGCCTTGTCATCGTGTGGTGCAAGTCCCCCCCCCCCCCCCCCAGCCCAAGGGTTCCTTCCATGCAATAGAACCTAGCGGCAACAGCAACATGTGATTGCAGGTCCTTGTGCCAAGAGAGTAATGCTGAATGGACACCCGTTGTTCATGCTACAACTCGTCAAGGACACAAACCCCAACAGCACAAAAACACCACATGTAACAGCAATTCGCGCTGGCTTTGAGCTTCTTGACCACGGAGCAGCTTCAACCTGGTTCACTTTTTCAGTTGCCTCCGCGGGATGTCGTTGGTTCCATCACCCCTCCGGCCGGATCAATGAGGAAGCAAGTCACTGCTCATCAAATCTTGGTTCACTGCATGGGGCCCAAGCAATCCATAGGATTGGACTGGCGCAAGGAGCTTACCTCCGGCATGTGCCCCCTGAGGTGCCGGCAGCCGAAGTCCGCACGGAGGGCCATGATCTGGCAACCAGACCCAGCGAAAGCCAGGCTTCATGACCACTCTCAACCCCCCCAAAAAAAATAAGCCCCGTTTCGGTGATTTCTCAAAGCAGATGCTTTGGTGAGCCACTTTTGCAGCCACAAGCATCAGGCCATGCACCAGCGCGCCTGCACATTGATCAGACTTATGACCGACAAGTAGAGGCCTCAAGCGGGGAGCGGACTTCGTTTGGAGAATGCTGTCACCGCCTCACGTCTTGCCCAAGTCAAATCGAACACGTTGAATCAGCACACAAATGCTAAGCTGTAGGGGAACCTCCCCCTGGCGGTATTTCTTGGGCTGACTCCGCCTCAAAAACAACTCAGTTTGACAAAACAACGAAATCAGTCTTTCTTTCACCCGCATTCCTTCCACGCAGTTCCAAGCAATTCACCCCACTCCGGCATTGTCAAGTTGAATTGGAGATGTTGCACGCCCTTAGCCGCTTCTTTCCTTCGCATCAGCTGGGTTCAGTAAGTTATGTTTCAAGTGGTAGCTTGGAATACTCCATCTTAAATTCCCTCGGGGCCCTCGTGCCCAACCTATTGACACCATGTAAATGACAAGGGCCAGGTCCGGCTTCAGGAAACATTGCCGTTGGACTGTTTAACTCTTTGACACCCACGCTGGATGACGTGATTGACTTGAAAAAGGACACACACCACCGAACAATTGCAGCACAACTATAAGATTACCCCATCCAGCATCAATATCAAGTATCAATCATCACGCAAAAGCCAAACTTTGCAGGCGGAAGCAGGAGAGTGCCCCGGTTCCACAAACAACAAGCCTATCTCCCGCCAGAGTCTTGCCATAATGTTTTGGCTCACTTTACTGGACCTGGGCATGCCTCAACTGTTGAACCCAGGTTTAGCATCAAAAAGCTAAGCCGCACCTGGCTGGCGAGCATCTCAGCACTCGGAAGACAACGCAAACAAAGCCTGCAAGAAGAAACCGACAATATATATATATATATTTATTTATTCATATACACACACATAAATGCAGATATGTATATATATATATACATGTATACATGTAAATATATATAGTTATATATTCACAAAACACGCAACTACAGGGAAAAATCAAGGGGCCTTGTCTCGATGCTTAAAAACGCAAAGCCAAGTCGCGGAAGCCGAAGCTCCTTGTCCAAAGCTCCGGCTCTAGCCGCTTGAAGAGCGTGGACTCGCGAGTGGCGTGCGGCGTTTTTTCTTTCCCCGATGTGCGGCATTCCTTTTTGGGACTTCTCGTTGCTTTTTGGCTCTTTGGCTACTTGGGGCCTTTAGCCTGGAGACAAAGCCAGGGCTTCTGAAAGCAACGGAAGCCTGTTAAGTATGGAGCAAGGTCTGCACCATGGTCGTGTTCTTAATGTCTAGCCCGGTACAATTCGAGCCAGGCACATCTATTGCCGAATGCACCGAGACTCCATGGGGCCATGGGGTCTCTGAGGTCCAATGGTGCGGGATGGCGCAAGACCAAGACGAAGACCCAAAACCAAACACGTGAGGTGCTCCTCCTGGCCTTTGGGTACAAAGGACCAATGCGAACCCCACACCAAGCCTTTCGCAGGCAAGACGGCGCCCAGTTGCTTTGGGCTGGGCTCGCTTTGCGACAGCACTTGGGAAACAACCAACTATACAATTAGCTCTACATCCGAAACCTCTGGAAAAGAAACAACTATCAGTCACAAACCGCCGACCGGATTTCCACAATTGGAAAATGCTTGTGGGAGCCGTCCGTACCTGCCCGCCTTGGCTCCACCAATGTGGTGCTGCTGCAAAAAGTTGCGCTCAGGGCCAGGGGCGTCATCGGAGGAGCTCGACTCCTCGCCATCCTCACGGATACCGATGGGGGAAAGGGACACCAACGGTCTGGCATAGCAAAGGAATCCCATTCCGTCGCCCTTGGACATCCTTTTGCCAGACTCCACTGGGGGTGTATAGTATAAAAAGGGGGTGATAAACTGTTTTGACCCATTTTGGGGTTCTCTTTCTTTTTTGTCCGACCCGACCACCACAGGACCGTCATGTCGCGCCTCGATGCCATCGAGCGCGTAGACGGTGTCCGCGCGCCGCATCATGGCCATCGATGCCCTGCGCGCGCGCGCGAGTGCGTTTGGAGCAGTGGGAAGGTGAACACCAAATGCATCTCAGCACCTCTGTGAAGTTCACTGGGGAATAAATTGATTACAAGGACTCCCAGTGGACGAAATTGCTTTGCTTCGAGCAATCAGAACCCACCTCCTCAGCCATTCATTCCACTGAAAGGCTGATCAGGCGAGGAACCCAAGTTCAGCTACTTTGTCAACCGGTCACACTCCTGAATAAAAGCAAATCGCAAAGCGGAACTTGTCGACGGGAAAGTCAAGATTGGAACAATGCAATCTAGTTTCATGCTTGATTGTTTTTTGCCTTGTGCTGTCTCTAGCCTGCAGCCAAGGGTTTCATGAGTTTGGGGCCACGTAGTTTCTGGGTGCATTTTTTGGTACCAGTCCGCGAGACACATTGACATTCATCATGCTGTCGGGGACCGATTTCACTAGCATGGAGCATTTCCAGATCTGAACATTCGGCTCAAGGGCACTTTGCGTCAACGTGCTATGTTAACGAAACAACCCGTTTCTGTGCCAAGTGGACATGTTCCATGTAAGCCTGCAGCTGCCAGCACTACCTCCCTCACTGGATCAATTCTAGAAAGCCTTCCCAGCAGGTGAATGCCCATGCTACACATTAAGCTTTCAGATCTCGCCCCCGCAAGGCAAATCACCTCTGCATCCGCCCGGCCGCGATGCCTCCCCGGCCAAAAGGGCCGGAAAGCCGGGCGAGCTTTGATCCCACACTGCAGGGACGGCCAGCTTGCTTCACCCGCTCTGCATGCACGCGAGCTCACGTGATGTACTCAACCCCACTTAGGCGTCAAAGATTTGATCCATTCAGTGGTTCCCTTCTTGGATGCATTGGCTCAAGCACTGCAAGAAAGGAGTCCTGGCGGTTCCCAAACCAGACTATAGCTTGACTTTAGGACCAGTACCGACAACAAGAAAACTGAGGCAGTTTATGTGCGTCCATCCAGTCCAATGCACCTACTCTTCTAGAGAGCGGGTGTAGGCCCCTCCAACACCTGAGGCCTATGTCAAACAAGATCGTAGCCCGCAGGCTAACAAGGGAACAGGCCCTGGACTCAATCACATCGCCCTGTCAAATCAACCACATGCTGATGATGGTGCGGTTCAACCAACCAGAAACACACCACGCACTCTGAAAGTGTCCTCATCTGAAGTGGCTTATTCGGTTAGGACAACCAACAGCTCTCTCACTCTCGCTCCCTGCCGTTTGCTATCTAACTTATTCTCCTGCTTGGCAAATCCTGCATGTCTAGTAGCTGCTTCTTCGCAATGATCTTGTAAACACTGAAGCAAATTGGGGCCGGCTCGGTACCACCACATGGCTGTGGGTCAAACATAGGGTAACCCCAAAATGGCTTGCCCTCGCAAATGGAAACCCAGACAAACAATATGCGGTCCTTTGTTGTGTTTTCCTTCTTTTTTGTTTTGACCCAAAGCCCCACATCGGGGGTGGATCTCAGGTCGCGGGCCGGCGCCCTTGGAACCACTGAGCCGCTCCTGCCGCGGCTCAGATCGATTTTCGGGCTCCAATACGATGCGAGGCGCGCCCAGCTTTTTTTGGCGGGGAGTGGGTCACAACAATCAACCTCCCTCAAATTTAGCCTCACCAAAATCAATTGGCTTAGAACTGGGTACTGTTGGAGCCAACTTTGAGTTTCCATTTGAGTTAGTATTGCTGGAACTTCCTTCTGAGGGAACTGGGTTTGAGTTTCGATTTGATTCGGAGCTCTAACAAATCATGATTTGGAGAGAGGCTCTATCTGAATCTTGCTCGTACATGTTTCCCGGTCAAGCGCCGGATGGCCTTCTCTTTGAATAACTTCGCCTAAACAATCAACTAACTTGGGTACTTTAAAAAGTTGGAAACCGTTTCTGCTGCATGCAAGATTAGACTTCCAAACATTGTGGAGCTTGTTTGAGCCTTTGAGGTTGGAGCTGGATTTGTGTTTTTGTTGGGGGGTAGCAATAAATCATCGCTTAGTCCCAACAAATAATTCTTAGCCCATAGTACTCGCCCCTTTGTGGGATTGATTCGAGCCGGGTCTTTGAAACGCATTCTTGGGGCTGAGATCTGTTTCGAATGTGGACTTGACCCCCCCACCCCCGTCCATCGTGCTGCTTTTGTGTTGAGGATTCAGTGGCGACTTTCTTTCTTCAGGGGATTCAATCGTTTCGGAGAAAGTCATGCTCATATCGAGGGAATCGCTAATCCTGAGTGGGCATTAGAGAAGTGAACATGATGGGAATGGATACTGAAAGGATCGTTGACGCTTGGATAACCCAAACCAATGCAGCGGTAGCGAAATTCTGTGGACTCCAACTCGCGAAATTCAGTTGAGGGATACCGAATTCAGCAAGTCGAGGCTACCTTCCGCTGCAACAGGCAACACTGATGGAGCATGTTGCTTTTGAAAGGCAACCATGGGGTAACCTCAAACCCGCCAATAGTGATGTCTTTTTGCCCTCGCCTTTCTGATATTCATAAGCCCTTGAGGTAAACCTGGTTGTCAACATACTGTACACGCCAGGTACTTACGGAGTTGAAGCACGGACAGCGGGCCAAGTTAAACTAAAGACAATGTGACACGAAGGCAACAATGTGTCAGTTCTCCCATGTGTCTTTCCAAAACATGTGACCAGCCGCTGGTTCCCCCAGTTGCACATGGCCTCCGTGACCCTATGGCCCGCGACAAGCTTGAGACCGAGGATTTTTCGGCCCAGCACGCGAAAAGCTAGTGGAGCGCTACCACGAAAGGTGTAACCACTTGTAGCCGAATCTTGATTTGTCCAACATGGGACAGGACTGAAGCGTTTTAGAACATGATGTTCTTTCAAAAAGAACCACTGTGGGTCTTATAGCAATATTATGGCTGAGGTGAAAGTCGGATTCACATCCTAACTTGGAGGTTGCCAAATAGCTCAGATGGTCAACAGGGGAAGTTTTGAACCAGCCACGCCTCGGAGACACACAGCATGGCCGACAGCGGACGCCTGGCGCGCCGGGGGGGGGGGGTCGCGGCATCTCCAACAAATCATGATGTCATGGTGCCTCTGTGGAACATAGCAGCCTTCAAACAAACACTATTCACATCCATGTCTATGCTTTCTTCAGCACCTTGATGCAGTCCATGGTGCCATTCCCCAACAAGGGCCAAATCAGGGCGTCTTTTTTTCACCTCGGATTCCCTTGAACCACCGAAACTCGCAAGACTTGTCCCCTTTCCATTCTGGGCATAGTGGCTCCAGGGCTTCAGTGGGCCTCTTTCCATTCTCCTCCACTGTGAAGTTCTCGAAAAGCTTCCGGAAGGAGTTCTCGGCAAAAGCGCATGGGCAGGTGCCAAGTGGAAAAGGCGCCCCGAGGTGCTGGCTGGGTACACCCTGGAGTGGGAATGGGGAACAGAAAGCCCCGATTGATTCTGACAGTAGGAGCAAAAACAGAGGGGGAAACATTGGAGTCAGCCGAGTAAACCATTGCCAAATGCAATTCATTGAGGACATCAACTATAACTAGGACTCCCCCCTTTACAACTGCAACTGCCCCGGTGATTGAGGCAAACCCTTCCCCTTAGCTACAATCTATAAGTTGTGCCTGGGGCACAATGCCGCCGAGAAGGATGAGCTATCACATGTGACATGGCCGCACCGCTGAAGCCCGGACATCAGCGCTAAAAAAGTTCTGGGTGTCCGGCGAAATCGCGATCCAACAAGGTCTCATCATCTACGACCTTGGCACAGCTAGGCCTAACATCCGCTCACTTGCCAGATGGCGGGACCACTCCATCCGAAATCATGAAGCCAAATCTGGTCTGTGCACGTGCATGTGCTTTTGCAATTGATGCTTTAAGGCTTGCTGGTGTCAAGCTCGTCTGCCTTCTGTCCATTCGGGCTGCACAATCATTCTCGCGGTCAGGCTTCTACAAGAACATGTCCAGCGTATGGAACGATCACAATGGGATCCATCTTGACAGTGCCATGGTCGCTGCGACTCTAACGAGCGTTGAATAGCCCTCACAGAATCTCACAGTGTCAGCATTCAACCAAAATGCGGTCTACTTGAAAGCTGCGCTCCAGAATGTGAATCGGGGCTATGGGATGTGTCGATCTTCTGCCTTGCAGCAAATGTTACGCAGGTCTGTGCAAATGCTTGTGCTGCTCGTCCGCCTGTGAAGCAAACAGTAACAATTACAATCTAATCATTGGCGCAGCTAGAGCTATCTTGGCAAACCTGGTGTTGTGATCTGTCTGGGGCAGCGTGCCACATGAACCTTCTTCCGCAGTGCCACGACGACATAGATGGCTAGCGCCTCAGCTGTGTTGACATGCCGGGTAGCCAACACACTCCTATACGTACCGATCCAAGCACCTTTGCATAACAGCTTGCCTTCACGCAAGCCATGTTGCCGTGCACCTTTACAAGATCCCTGCATGCAGCATGGGCGTGCATCCTCACTCGATCGCAAGCTGAAGACTCGTGCTAAGAGCCGCGCGGCGACAATCATCGACTTGCCCTCCCCAGTGCCTACCTGGCAGAGGCGTCAGAAAGCCGAATAGCCATGAGTCCCCTCCGGAGGAACCCAAAACAGGGTCTCCGTGATTGATGGCGGAAGACTGGACAAGAGTGAAGCCAGTGCAAAACTGTTTACAAGGAACTGGCGTGAATTTGGCATGCCTTAACTCTCTGGGCCTGCACATCGCAAGTGCATGCAAGCAACTGGCAGGAAGCATCCAAACATGTATGAGCAGACTGCTCCTCTGCAAAAAGCTTCATGGCATGCACCAAAAAGTTGAACAAATTGGTTGTTTCTACGGCTAAATCTGCTAAATCAGTAGCTGTATGACACACCAGCTGTGCCAATACACATCGGCAGCCGTGCTTCTTGTGGACAAATTTGCTTCATGCCCAACGCGTGTGTGAAACGTTTCCAAAGTTGCCTGACACGGCAGCAACTCGGCGGCCCGATCTTGGACCTTCGCTTAAACACCGATGAGCGCCCCCCGCCTGGGCAATCAGGGCACGTATCTCGTCGCGCCCCGGAGGAGCCTGGCGAAGGAACCCATGGAGCTGGGTGATACACCTTTGCTTGCAGCTTCAGACATTTTCACCTGGGTGTCTGTCTTCAAGGGATCCCGCAAATTGTGAGTCTCTTTTCGGGGTTCTGTTTAAATAAGACACAAAGGGGTGGGTACCAACGGTACCAACTCCAAAAACCAGCGCGCATCGGCCTCCAGGAAGTGCTGGAAAGCCAGCAGGCAAACCACCTGGCAGCTTTGCTTCCGCTTGGAGCTGTCTCGTCTCCCAAAAGCCTTAGGTTAAAGCCTGAAGTGGTCAGCACCCAAAACCCGAACCCTTCAAACCCCAAACCCTGAAACTTGCTGGTGCGATAGGTAGGGAATGCGGGTCCCCTCAAATGAAACCACAAGGGATGGTTTATAAGGGTCACTCCCTCATTCCCTGCTGCGCACTAGCAGGAAAACCCTGAAACTCCCTTAACCCAAAACCCAACCTCTTAACCCGAGAAAGGAGGCAAAAGGCAAACTTTGTGGGCAACAAACACATGGTGTGGTTATCATGAAGGGCTCTCTGATGACTAAATTCCACAAGTCCTCAATAAACCAATGTTGAAACCCGTGATTTTCCTCACCCACCCGGCGAGCACCGAAAAGCACCGATTCGGAACGAGGTGCTCCGATTGATGAACAAATATGGTTCCCGAACCTCCGTTTTACGATCAGGCGGGCCGTGCTTTACTGTTTGGGGGGAACGGGCTAGAGAGCACAAAGGTCACCCTACCTTGGGGAGAGAGAATAGAAGGACCCGTGACCTTCGAGATTGCGATTGCCAGACCAAGAGCACATGTTCGTCAAGGATCGCCTCCGCCGACAGCCACCCAAAGCTCAGGCAACTTTTCGGATGAAAGCGATGCGAAACGGCGGCTTGGAGAGCTGATCAGAAGAAGCCAAATCCAATGAAACAACATGCATACTGTTTGCTCGAATCAAGCAGGTTCCTCGAACTCGCTACACATCGACGCATATGAGGTTCCATATCCCCCCCTGCCTTAAGCTTTTGAGGTACGCGAGAGTCTTGCTCGAAACTTGGGTTCTTGGATGCGGCAACTGAATGCCAGCTTCCATGAATAAATATATAATTTACCACACGCGTGCGTGGACAAACACAAATGCTCAACTACCCTTGCAATCCGATTGGGGGGAAGGCCTATGACAAATGCACCAACAGAGGGACTGTAGAGTGCTCGCAAGCTCCATTTTCGTGAAGTACGTACGGCTTCTTGTTTTGGAATTGCGCTACTCTCTTTCAAACAATCACGGAAGTGGACAGAGGGCGACCCCCGAAGAAATTTAGTCGTCCAAACCCTCCTGTCAGCTTCCAGGATTGTTGCAGGAAGGGTAATACTTGGCAAGGTAAGTTGAAGCTGCCAATTAGCGTCCCGGGCGACCATCGGAGGGCAACCGCATTTTGCCCAACAACTTATATTGTCCAGTCCATGGCGTGTTTCAGATCAGCTGCACACCGGGCAAGCCAACCGGTTGTGCTGCTCCCTGGGCCGCACACCTACTGCCTACTTCGCGGGGGGTGGTCCGGGTGAAACCAAGCTAAAACCCGAGCAAAGGCTTCAGCGCGACTGGCAGGCAGGGAAGAACCCTCTAAAAGCTGTCACCAAAGTGACTCCGGGCCCTTTGCCTGTGGGAAGACAAGGCTTGGGGCAACGCTTGCTTCCGCCAATACTTGCCTGCCCTAGCAATGGTTTGAACTTGTATGCGACCACGGGTGGGTAATATGGTGTTGCCGCCACCTGCCAAAAACACTGGTGTGCAAAAACATGCTGAGGGGACATGGTAAGGAATGTGCATGCTCTACTGCAATGTTGGGTAGCGAGCTAATACACCAGTGCTTTGTTTCCCGAAATTATTCCCTCACCTGAAAAGCAATAAGACTAGGAAATAAACAAACAACTCGGGGGCAACACATCCGGAATGCTTTGCAGCTGGACGATAGAAACAGTGTTGGGGGCTGGCAATGTCTGAGCTTGGTGCATCCAACCTGCCCCACTACCTGCAACCATAGCATGTACCCCTGGGCACCAGCACCACCAACCAGCAAGAGAGCTTGCATGTAATGCTACCAAAAAGAGCTGACCTGACTGTCCCAAACAGCCACATGCTTTATGACACTCCTTGCTAAAAACTACCACCCAGCCAAATCTTCAAGGGGGTGGTTTGCTTAAGGGTAGCGAATCGGGAACAAAGGAACAAGCTTTGCGCAAGAAAGCTAAACCAATACCAACCACTACTACATCAATACTAAAAAAACAATAAACAGTACTGGGCCACCTCGACGGAATAATATTAAGCCAATTCTGATTCTAACCTTGTCGCCGTGGGTTGCATCAATGCTTGCATATGTCTGTTAGTGGTTGCAGCGATGATCAAGGGTTGGCCATGAGTAGGTGTAAACTCTCTATTGCGTCCTTTATTCATTACTTACTTTCGTTATGTCTTTGTTATTTCTTTAATTATGACATGTATCTCTTCTTTGCGTCCTTGTGTCTTTATGATTTTCTGTATTGTCGTTTTGTCACTTCGTTCGGTGTGCTTTATGTATGTATGTATATGTATATATATATATATGTGTGTAGTTCTTTCTTTCTTCTGTTTCTTTCTTTATCTATGTTACTTTCGTGTATGTTCTTTCTGGTTATTCAATTATTGTTTTCTGTGTTTCTTTTTGTTCCTTCACTTTCCGTTCCGTCCCGTTCCGTTTCGGTCCGTTGTGTCTGCTTATTTGCTTTGTTTTTCATTCTTCGGACTTTCTTTCTTCGGATTTTCTTCCTCCCTTTCTTTTCTTGCTTTCTAACTGTTATGTCTTCCTTTGTGTTCCTTCTTTCTTTCTCTATCTGTCTCTCTCTCCCTTTGAAAGCTCAACCAAAGCCTGTTGAACGACAATACAAACAATCTCATGACCACTGATAGATTCAATTTCACAATGATCGTCGTTGTCAACCACATTCCCATTAACTATAACCGCCTGGTTTAGCACTTGCAAACACATACCACATTGATGCAGGCATCGCTCGCCTCGATTGCCCAAAACACCCAGAAATCCAAGACGAAGCTTTTGGAACCGTTGGACAGCTGCCAAGCGCTTTCCCACTCGCCAACGGCAGCCAGCCCGCCACGCTTTGTGGGTCTGAGATCAGCAGCTAGACTCCTACAAGCTACGTACTGTCGTACAAATGCGGACAGATCGGAGGGTTGTATAGGCCTCGGAATGTCGAAAGACCAAGCAAGCGCACGTCAGAGCCAAGTGGTGGACGTTGCGATGAGTGCCGGCCCCGACGCTTGGCATCGCTTGGCTATCTTGTGCGAACCCATGCCCAGGCATGATTTTGTTGAGCTGTCTGCAAATGATCGAACGAGTCAAAGGCAGCAATTCCTCAAACAGTTCGAGCCCTTGACAAAGTATCTTAGCCGATGAAAAAAACATGTCTCCTACAGGCGCCCACAAGGGTCTTGTGTTTCGAACTTGTTCAGGGTCCATCTTTAGGTTTGGAAGTGCAGGTTTCGATTCTGAGCTTACCGTGTGGCGCATATCAAGTGCGGCTGGCTGGCGACGGCTGTGTGCAGTGCTTGGGGGACGGCGGTGTTGCGCAGACTGGTGTTGGGGGGGAGCCGTGCCATGCGCAGCCATGCAGTGCAGGCCGGCGCGCAGACCCTGCGTGCCGCAAACTGGGTGCGCGTGGTGCAGATTGGGTGGCAAGGCTGTGGTGCAAATTGGGCACGCGAGGCTGGCTGGGGGGGACGGCGCAGATTGGATGCGCGAGGCTGGCTGCATCTGTTCCAGGGCCAGAAAGGCGGTGGTAAGGGACGATTTCTTGGTTCTAGAGTCCCTGCTCTTTGGAAAAAAAGGGGGGTTTCCTAAAAAGACGGGATTTGGTGTTGACTGACCACTGACACAGCGAGCTGACAGCCCTTCCAGCTCAGGGGGTGCGGGGGTGCCGGGTTTGCTTTGGGTTCCCGGGCTCTTGTTTTGCTGTGCGTGCCATGTGTTCAGCGGAGCGTCGCCAGCAACACATATCAATATCTGCATGGTTTCAATAACCCGTTGTATTGCAACAGTCATCTGGTACAGTTGGTACAGTAGCCCAAGCCATGGCATCATTTCAAAACACAAAGCATATGGTTTTGGCCCAGCCAAGGTCATCGCTCTGGACAGTGTACTAAAGTGAGCCTACCATCCAGTTTGGCAGCAAGTAGGGCACTCACTTCTCATCATGCATGTATGTTGCCTTTCAGGAATGCACAGGAAAGCACTACTGTATCCATAGTACCGGCTTGTGCTTGGCATGGGCAATGACTAAAGTACATTGCGCTAGGGAAGCAAAAAGGCGTGATCTTACTCTTACAAATATTGCCACGCGCACCACCAAAGCAAAGCCCTTGTCATGGCATCATTTCACCTCCGGGTAAGGCGCGTTTTGAGTCTGGTGGCCAGGAACCGCCCCACCGACACGTTGTACATCCTGAGGATCAACGCGTGCCTAGTGCAAAGCGAGGGGCCTCCCGTGTTTTGCGCACCAACTGAGTACAGAAGTTGAATTCAGAACTTCCCGCTAAAGGTGCCTTCACTATGGCCGTTTTAAACCCGTGAGCCCATGAGTCAATGCGTCTGAGCAGCTGGGACTCTGGTCAAGATCGTTCAAGTTGTGTGGCACAGATGCCCACGCGACCTCAATGCAGGTCCCCCCTTCTTGTGGGACAGGATTACACAAAAAGCCAAGGATTTCCCCGTAGCAGCAACAAGTTGCCCCTTCCGCACAAAGCACGGGCTTGTTGAATCGAAGCTATCAAACAAGCATAACAACTGTCACATTCATACGGGCATCCCGTTTCAGGTGTTGACGGGTTGATGTGGTTCGGTACTTCTCTGAAAAAGAAAGAAAGAAGAAAAACAAGTGGCAGGCTGACACGAGCTGTCTATATATACTCAACAACCTCAAACTGCCAAAGGTTTTTTCCCCTCTAAGCTTGGTGCCGGTAAAACGGCTGTTCTTTCTCTAGCTCCAGGCAAAGCTCTATCCATCTTTATTCCGAATTCGCCTCTCGGAGCTGATCTCTTACCGGCTTGTGGCCCAGGGGGGACTTGACTCAACGGTCTCTCTGAGGACCGGGCGGATCGTTGCAAAGGCATCACCTCCTGCACGCTCCAGAATGATAGGAAAAGCGTGAGCCAGGAAAAC